GAAGGTATGATTTGTCATAATGGATTTGATCGAAATGCAGCACAAGCTGCTTGTCGTTCACAAAAGAAGAAATTACAAATGTTCTCAACAAACTATGAATGGGAAGCATCATCAACTGATCTTCATGATAAATGTTATTTTGAATATAATAGTGATCCATTTGTTGTTCCATGTGAATTCATATTAGATAATTTCAGTTGTGCAAGTGATGCAACAAGTCTCAATGACTGTACATACACACCATTATTTCAACACCAATGTACGAATGATATGCATGTTGGAATTGGATGTGTATGATTTGTTAAACATAGACTTCATTGATAAACAGTTGAAAAGTATTTCATTTTTCTCAAAGTAGAAGTACAGTCGACAATACGACTTGTATCTGTTTTATTTATACGAAAAAAATACTAAAACTTTATTGAAAACGCTCTTTAGCTTCTTGACGTTCTTGCCAAACAGTAGAACCGGAACAAGTACAAAGACGTTTTGTATTTTCAAAAATACCGGCTGATCGAGCAATAATACCACATGCAACACGTCTATATTCAAAAATAGAGTTACAAATATATATATATATATAGAAGAATAACTTACTGAGAATCAGAAGTTTGTACGACAAATGAACGTCCAATAAGATCTGGTACTCGAATAGAACGATTAAGTAGACGAAAATCAGCAGCTCCTCGATCATCGGTCATTACTCGACCAAGTATACCAGTTGGTTCTCGAGAGGATTTTTCCGTATTATAATAATCTCCACAACTAAACAATAATAGTATAAATAACGAGTTTATTTTATAGAATACCTATCACATCCGTTAGAAAGATCACCATATTCATGTATATTGATTTGAGCTGGTGAATTAGGTAAAAGTCCATCAATATTTCCTTCAATAATACATTGTTCATCATCAGCTTGAACAAATCGTACTAAACCATGAATACGACGTTCAAATGGTCGATTCATATTACTATATATAGCTGAAACAGCAGCAGCACCAAAAGATTTACCTATATATATACATATTAAACTATGAATCTTTTCAACGTAAATGATTTCTTACCAGTGCCTAAAAGTACAGCATTTGTATCTAATGATTGTTCAATTATTTGTTGAACTTTTGTTGATTGTAATGTTGTGTCTAGAACTAATCGTTTTGAAGAAAGATCAATATTAACATTTTCAATGCCTAGAATATATTTTCTGAATAATACCATCTAATATGAATTCTTATTCTACCTTTTTGATTTCCTAAAATTTTTCCTAATTGATCGACTTGTTCTTGTCGATTGAAATCCACAAGAAATTCGAGCTAAAGAATTTAAATGTAAAACATAAATTTCTATTAATAAAATTCTTCACCTTAGTGCTAACTGAAGGTGATGTTTCAGTCATTTCTAGTCTAAAATAACACAAGGTATTTATAATATCTATTATTAGTAAGATTTTCTATATATTTTGCATTGACAAATAGAACAACGAGATAATATGACAGATTAATGATATACAAGAAGGAATAACTATTTAAGAAAGCAAATATAATAATGATTATACGAATATACATGAGAAAAAGTGTTTTTATTTATTTGTTGGTGTTATTGATGTTGGTGGTGGTGGTTTACGTGCTGTACGTTGTTTTTCAAAACGATTTTCCATTTCAATTAAAACTTGTGGTGAATAACGTACAACTAATTTGACACTTCCTTGTGCTTGTTTAAGTAAATCAACTGCCTTTTCATGATATTCATTTTCAACAGATACACCATTAACGGATAATAATTGATCACCTTTTTTTAATCCGCCATGTTTCCATGCAACACCATTTGGAATAATACGTGAAATATAAATAGGAGAATTTTGTTCACGTCCACCCATTACATTAAATCCAAGACCTTCTTGTGTTTTAGGTAATTCAATGACACGTGGATGTGAATGACCTTCACTAGCAGCAAAAGCTGCAACCTAAATTCATTGAAAAATAATTGTAAAAAAACAAAATAGTATTTTTCTTTTAATCGAACTCACAGTTGCTTTCGCAGTTGCATTAGCTCGAACTTCTGGTGAACCGGTTATTTGAACAGTTTCATAAATTTTTTCATAGACTTCCAAAACGGCATGAAAAAAATCACTTTGTAATATACGTTGTAATTCAAGTAATTTTGTTTCAGGTATTTCACTTGTTGTTCGAAGACGATCAAGAAGAACGATAGCTCGATCAATATCTTTTTCTAAATTAAGTGGTGATTCACCTGTTGTGGCAGACATTATCTGAAATATAAATAAAAACAAAAGAACAAAACACCCAAACAATAAAACATGAACAACACTATCAACCAAATAAAATAAGAAATATAATTGCAATAATATTAAAAGCGATCAGCGGAACTAAAAAGAGAAATAAATAAATTTATAAACAAAATCGATGATTTTACTTCTCATGACTGTTCGTACAGAACGAATTAGAGTTAATAATTGTTGTTTAACTCCACCAGCATTCTGCATGTCATCCACATAACCAGCAGCACCAGGATAACCTTGATGACCTCCACCACCGCCAGTCACTAAAACAACAAGAAATAAAAATCAATTGTACATATAATTTAAGTTTGTTTACATTTTGAAAGAAATCTTTGTTCATTAAGTATTGCCACAGCATTAACACCAAGAAGAGCAGCTTCAATTAAACTATACAATGTAAAAACCATGTTTATTTATTTTTTGATCTAAAAAAACGCTAAAAATGATTTTGATTGATTAGATGTTTTTTTTCTGGAATGTAAACGAATTAATATAAATACAATAAAAAATTTATCTTTTTTCTTGTTCTCTAATTTATATCAAACCTAAATAATAATAATAATAATAATAATAATAAATAAATAAAAAATATCATTCAATAACAAACAAAAAAAAAAAAAGAAACCAAACATTCTTCAATGTTTTGCATTCGTTTTTCCATTAACAGGTTTACTTTGTGTAGTTGCATTTGGATGTAAAACTTTTCTTATCATTTGTTCATATTTATCTAAACTAAAATTTCCACTTTCACTCGCTGGAAAACTTCGATGTTTTAATTGTAATAAATTTATATAATCTTGTTCCGTATATTCAGGTCCATGTTCTTCAATAACTGCAATAATTTCATCTGGTTTTGTTGCATATAATAATTCATAAAAACGATGTGCACGCATTAATTCAGCATCACCAACTGTTCGAATTTGTGTTAATGTTTGTTCAATAGCAAATATATTTCGACACATTTTTGTAACACCTGATTCACTTATACGTACAAAACGTGGTGCTGCACGTATTAATATTGTTGCTAAAACAAAACCAAGACCTTGAAATAAGAATAGAAATTTTTTTTCATTTAATGATGAATGTAATGTTTCTTGTAAACGTGTTAAATCACGATTTAATGTCATTATATTTTCATCAGGATCTGTATCAATCACAGATGCATAATGAGATGCATTACGAAATAATAATGATAAATGATAAAAACAATGAAGACGTATTTCAAGAAATAAAACAAGTAATATATCATAGGATAATGTCAAGGTTGTTTTCATTGCATTGGAAAATATTTCTAAATTAACACGAGATAATTTTAATTGTTCATATTGATGATGATTTTGTTTTAATGATCGTGATGTATAACCAGATGTAACTAAAATAAATATTAGATTGTTAATTAGACGTATAAATATAGTCTTAGAATTTATGATGAGACATCTGTAATTATACCTCGTATTAGAGGATCACTCATCAAAGAGAAAGACTGTAATTATTCATGACAAGTTATGTCAGATAATTCTTCTATTTGTTATATAAAGATCATTGAACTTAATGTTGTCAGAGATGATTAGAACAATATTCCAGAGAGAACAACTCTTTCAATTGTTTATATTTCTCAACAAACGAACATCTTTTGTAACAAAACTAATTAAGTTAGAAAAAAAAGAATTATATTATAATAAAGTTATCCTATACCAATAATTATTGTTAAAAATATTATATCTATTTTGATAAAATTACTAAGAAAAAAATTACCTCAACATTTGGTATAATACCCAAATGAATTAAGTTCTAGAACACAAAAACTTTCCGATATAAACTCTTTTTAAGATTTTTTTTTTATTTTAGTATTCTAATATAGTATGTGTACCTGTTGTTTGTATTAATGCATCAAGACATCTTGTATCAGATAAACATTTATCCAAAATATCGAAATAATATGATAATTTATAATATAACCAATCAAGACTTTCATGTATATTTGCTAATAATTTAATATGTTTATAAGTTGTACAAATATCATCTAAATTCATTTCACTTTGACTGAAATTAATTAATAAAGTTTCCGTTTCTTTTGTTTGACGGAAACGTACATTATCAGCATTATCATCGTGACCATCATTATTTGTTAAATGTTGTTGTTTAGCCATTCGTATAAATGCATCAAATGCTGGCATTGTACGTAAATGACGATTTATATCTGCATCTTTAACCCATTCATTCGAATAAATTGATGTACCAGGTGAATCATTTCGTTCAACAATTGATAAAAATAATTTATTACATGATTCTCGATGTTTAAATAAAAGATCAATAATAGCTTGACAAAAATCATCAGCATATGGTGGAAGACATTTAACAAGTGCACATAATTCTTCACAAGATTTAAATATTAAATAAGTTGATTGAAGAATTGGTATTGATAATTGTAATTGTTTTTGTAAAACAACTGGAATTAATTCAGCAAGACGATTTTGATCAGCTATTGTTGATGAAGATGTTAATTGGGCCGACTCACAAATATCTTTTATTACACGACCAATAAAACGATCACGGATAAATTCAGTTAATTTTCTAGATTAACAAAAAATAGAACGAATATAAATATGATGCGTATGTGTGCTTGTAAAATAAAAAATCCCGAACTGTCAGAGTTGCGTGTGCAACTTGCTCGAGAGCTCAATTAAGAATACGAATAAAAGCGGTCACATATAAGATATAGACCATCAACCGATTTTCCACTACACTTCACTGTTCGTCATTTCATCGTTTTCATTCTTCTTCTGTTAACTATAGTTATTCTCACAACTAAGAAAATTAAGTCAGAATCAAGAGCAGCTGTTGTGCGCGATGAATGACTTATTCAGTAAGACAAAATAAAGAGAAAGAAAATTCTAGTAAGAAGTTGTTGTGAAAATAAGTTAGTATATAGATAAACACACATCGTAAAAAATAATGGAGTTGGATACAACGATCGTTCAAGTTAATAATAGTGAGAAAATGGTTCCTACTCCACGAAATGTCATTCTAAGAGGGGTGGATGCTTAACCCTTAAGAGCCGTATGTCCCTTTCAAGGGACATCGTAAAATTCGAATAAAGTATGCAATACAATGCACGAGCAATATTTTTTTTATTTTCTGTGATTCATATGATTTAGTAGATTGTAAAAAAAGAGTAAAAATGAATTTAGATATTTATAAGAAAAACAATGCATTTTTTAAGACCGATTTTTTTTATAAATCAATTTTCTGTTTTGAAACGTTTCTGTATTGATGAATGTTAGAACGAAATCTATTTTTTCAAGTGGGATCTATTGATGAATTACGATGGCATCAAGAGAATGTCCCTTGAGAAGGGGATTCGGTCATAACGGCCCAAACTATTTTAACAGTCAAAACATTTCTAAATTATTATTCGATCGATTTTTTGATAATTTTTGCCCTCAATAAGGCCTGATAAGAACGAAAAATCAAAAGAGAATGTATCTTTTCTCTATACCGTTTACGGTAGAGATTAGAATCCAGTTCTCATTCTAAATCTTCCTCGATTCTCTCTGTCCCATTTTTCTCAATAATTTAGTAACCACTTCGTTCACGAATGAAATCCGCTCGCTCAAATACAGGATGATCATCTTCTCGCAACTAATATTGACCCTATGACCCTTGAATACACCCACAGACCGGCATTCTAATGAATAGGAAAATTCGTCAATACTGAAAAGCTGTAGAATATTGCTTTATTTGACTATTTGTGTATCGAGAAATGAAGAAATAAAAGTATTTTGTAAAAAAAACTTTGGTCCGTCCAGACCGAATGTCCCTTCTAAGGGACATTTTATATCTCTATAAGAAAAAGAATTTTTTTTTTACTATCGATTATTCTTATTGAAGTACTAGACCTTTCATTTTTGCAAAAATTTTGTTCAATTTGCATCGATAAGGCCTTCCGGCTCTTAAGGGTTAAACATGGATTAAATAAAATTAGATCTAAATGGTGTTTGTTAAAAAGTACTGTAAGATAAAAGCTAACGATTATATATTTCTTAATTTTTCTAACCTGTCAAGAATACGTTTCGTTGGATGTAATTTAAAATTGGTATCGATATCTTCAATAATTCTCTGTAGAATATCATGTACAGCAGTAATATTTCGATAATTTGGTTTGCATACATATTGTTTATAACCTGTTGCAACAGCTGTTGTTTCATGTTTAATAGCAAATCGATTTTGTTCTTGTAAATATGATGTCATGGAATTAAATTGTGCTGATTGTGAAAATTCAAATAGACGTGGAATTTGTTGTGAACGTGGTGGAGCTTTTTTTGTTAGATATTGTGAAAAATCAACAACTGAATGATGATTCGTATAATCTGTAGAATTTGATGTTGATGATGAATTCAATGCTGATGTATCAAGTGTATTATTATAATCAATATATTCATTTAATACTTCACTAAGAACTTGTTGAAGTGTTTCCCAAACAAGTTCAATAGAAAATAGATATGGAATTTCAAATTGTATAACAGTTGGAATCGACGCAGGTGCTTGTCGTTGTTCACTTTCAAGATCTAATTTTTATATTTGAAAAAATAAATTTTTTAAGAAAAATGTAAGATATGTACGTACTTCGTTGATTTTCTGCTGTTTGCATTGTAATATATTCCGCTTGTTGAATTTGTACGGGTGCTTGATGTTCTTGTATTAATTTCAATATATTTAATACATATTCAATATTTTTCACAACAATTTTAAATTGTTCATAACATGTTTCTAACAAATCTCTCAAACAATCTGGATTATTCGACATAAAATTTTGATGCGAATTATTTGAATGTAAAACAAAATTATTATCAACAATATGTTGTGTTGTACGTATAACAATTCGATGAAATTGTTCATGTAATTGTTTTTGAACATATTCAAGTGTTTCATTTAAACGTGATAATATTGATAATGATTGTAATAAAACATCAAGATATAAATCTGGTGCTTGATGGCGTATATCAACTAACATATATTTATCAGGTATAATTGATAATGAATGAAATTCAAATAATAATTTTCCTGTTTCAAAATCTTGATCAAGTTGTTTTCTTAAAAGACGATTTTCACGTATACGTGATAAATAATTATGATCATTTTTATTCGTTGTTGAATTTACTGTTGTTGTTGATGATGAAACATTTTTATTTCCAAGTATATCTCGACATGGTTTATCAAATAATTGATTTACTAATTCTTGACGTAATTGATGTTCTAATGTTAAACGTTCATCTTTTAATTGTCCATCAATATCAGATAGAGCATTGATTAAACGTAATTCTTGATGTTCTTTTGCTTTGATTAATAATAATGATGCATGAATATATAAATGTTTATTTAAATAAAATTGTAAACGTATTGGTACATGTTTTATTTCATTAATATTTTGATAGATTTTATCAAGAGCATTTTGTTCAGATGTTAATAACCATAATTTACGTATATCCTGTCGTTTAAGTAATAATAAATTTTTACATTCACGTAAACGTTCACGAACATTTTGAACACGATTTTTTGATTGTTCAATTGATGTATAGATATCAGAAAAATTTGTTATCAGTTCAGTTAAATCAGTTGCGGAAGATTTTATACAACGATCAATATTTGTATTTGAACGTTGAAAACGTTCATTAACGAAACGACGTTGTTGTTCACGTGCCTGGTTTTATTTGAAAAAGAAAAACAAAAGATTATATGAAAGATAAAAGTAAATAAAATACCTCAGTATTTGTATTAAAATTTAAATCACGAATTATTTTCATTAAAATGAACGTCGTTGATTGACGTTCCATCTTTGTGCACGTTTTATTCTTAAGAAAATAAATGTAATTATATCTTTGTAAGGAACAAATACACCTATAATCTAAATCAAATATATGATGACGATAAATAGTTCCATTCCTTGTTTTTATTAGGTAACATTAATCCAATTATATTTCATATAGGCATCCTCATAACATATAGATGTCGATAGTATCTTCCATACGCTATATAAATGAAATAATTTGATGCTTGAATGTCAACATTACACTTGATAGAAGTTTATCAAATTATAAAAAAAAGATTCAATTAAATGATTAGTCGTAATAGACTTAATGTATTTTTTTTGTGGTACTATAATTTTAATTTCAATTATTTTTGAGTGTTTCTATATAAAATCTTTTAAAAAGATAAATTTAGCAGTATATGTCACTAATTGGTTAAAATGGCAAAAAGTTAATTTGAGACAGTAGATTGCATTGAATCTTAGAATAAATGACAGTTATTTTTTATATTGTAATTGGATAAGTGATAGTCTCAATGTTTGCTTTAGATTTACTTTTACGTTCATGATAATAATCTATATTTGTCTAGTGTAAACCGTCTGTCTCAATGTTTACGATAGCATGCAACATTTTGTGACAATATTCAAACGTTTTTATTAGATTGATTTCATCATGAACTAATTTTTTTAGAATATTACATCAGATCTTCTTGTCAAACGTTTGATAGTAAATTATATTGTAAGAATAAATGTTTCATCATTATTCATCTTCAGTGTCTGCGACAATGGACGTTGTACCATTAGGATGTACTATATTTTGTTCAGCATTACATAAATTTTTCAGTGTTCGCCAACATTTTTTCACAAAAAAACTTTTCACTTGACGGCGATATCGGGATGATGATGCCATAAATATATAAAAACTTACCTGAAACAAAAAAAGAATTATCATTATTTAATTTAAATAAATATATAACTACATGAAAGCTTACAGTATAGTTAAGATTTGTCATTGATGACATAACTGAGTATATCAATTGATTGATAGCATATGGGTAAAGATTTGCTTGAGTAAATGTAACATTAAGTGAATAAATACGATAAACAGTATAAGGTATTAAAAGTAGTACATAAAAAATAACGCGTATAAAAATCATCGCTGTTAACTGTCGATCAAGTCGACGACGTTCAACAGCCACTTGACGTCGAACAAGATTTCGAACATTACGATATGCTAATAGAGCGAATGCAGATGAGGCAAGAATTGGTAAAAATCCATGCAAAATGGGATAGTAAAAGAAAGAATAATAATGTATTAAATCAATATTAGTGATGATACAACCACTTGGTGGAACAATCACATACAAAATAGCATATGGTATATCGTGACCAATCCAAAGGAAAATAGCTACAATTGTTAAACGATGAGCTAATCGAAGTGAACTCATCTGTCTAATTATATGTTGAGGATTTGTTGATAAAAATTGATCTAATGCAGCAAAACATACCATTGATGATGAAAGTAATCGTAATGTTTGAGTTAAGAAATTTTTCATTTTACACCAAGCAAGAGAAGTATTTGCAGGATCAGCTTCATTTGTAATTGGTAGAAGATATATAATAAAAAGTACAAATAACTGAATAGTATTGACAACAGATTCCATAATAAGATAAAAAGCACATTGATTAGATCGAAATAGTTTTAAAGTAGTGAGGACACCAATATTTATTAAACCTCCAATAGTTCCAAGAACAAAAATAGTCATTGTAAAATACAATGAAAAGTTTTGCGACAAAGAAAGAATATCTTGAGCTGTTAACATATTCAATACGTGCTAATGTAATAATTTGTAAAACTTGCTCAAATTCTCGTCTTACTAACGATGCCTTTTCATAAAAAATTTTTATTTTTTTTCCTTTTCATGCTTGTTTGCATTCTATTTTTTTTTAAACAACATAATGAAAAGTAATATTTCAGGAAAGTAATGGCTCACTTTAACGCGATTTTACGCAAGAGAAACAATGAAAATAATACTCTTAATAAGATTACCACCTACGAACACGTTTTCCATTCGTAAGAAAAACTTTACTTTTATAAGCGTTATAAGTACATACTTTTATATATTTTTTATAGTCGACTAGATACGGTCACATCAGCTTTAGTTTATCTATTTATAGATCATAAAACATTTGCCGTCACAATACTCACAACTCCTGTTATAAAAAGTTCTGTTAAATTCAAATCCATTACCATTTATTATCGTCCGTTAGTTAGGGACATTTATCCTTTTATCGATTGACAACTGAGAAAATTTTGTCTGTTACTTTTTTTAATTAAAATAATAGCATATACTTCTGTCATTTTTTCTTTAATCAACGAGTTTCATCAATCATCATCTATTCTTAGAGTTTAATGAAGAACGTTAAATATATATGCTTATGCTGTATTTTTGAATAGAAATCCTTGAGATATCTCTAAATTTTTTATGCATGAAACTAATGATAAAGAGAACATGTAATTCTTCATTACAATATTCTATCCATTGAATCAAATCGATTATTATTCGTATAGATTTTGTTCTCTTGTCACAAATAATTCATTTTCACTGATGAACACAATGTTCACATGCTCAAATCTCATATACATATATAAGTTGACAGTTCTCATTTATATATTATTCATTACATTCCAAATGCATGTACATATTACATAATTGCTAGTCTAATATAAAATGATGAAAGAAAATAGATATATTTTCTTAATTAAAACCATTGAAAGATCCTTTTTTTTTGAAATAGAACAACCATTCGTTAGCTGTTTAGTATAGTAACAATATATTTAATAATGTTTGCAGTATAATTAGAGTTACAAAAGAAGAAGTAATTTTATTCTGTTCAATATAATTATATTCAAACTATTTTGGGGTTAAATGACGCAAGAACTATCATTTTTAACAATTTAAACTATAATGCATGAAAATATGAATCAGCTTAAGATTTGAATTAATTAGATAAAAAATAATTAAATCTTATTTTATTTTCGGAAATTTTCAACCATTTACAATACACAGTAACAGATCTTACACAAAAATATACATCATAATCATATACCTGAACGTTATTAATTCATTCCATGATCCATTTGAAAATAAAAATACTCAAGTTGCTTAATTCTACTTTTATATAATATTTTTGTGTATTGTAAATGGTTGAAAATGATCAAAAATTTCAGGAAAAAAAATAAGATTTACAAAAGACACAACATAAAATTATTTTTTATTCAATTAATTCAAATCTTAAGCTGATTCATATTTTCATACATTATGAAAATTTGAATTTCAACTTAAGTTGTTCTATCCATCTGTTTACCAGGTCACTGACATTTCTATCGAAAAATAATCATAGTACAGTAACAATAGATAGTTAGCTTAAAACTAATATATATATCCATCCAATAGTTTTAAAATTAAAATATTTGATCATTATTCATCTTCGGTGTCTGCGGCAGTTAATACTGTACCAGACGGATGAACTGTATTTTGTTCAGTATTACATAAATTTTTCAGTGTTCGCCAACATTTTTTCACGAAAAAACTTTTAACTTGACGACGATATCGTGATGATGATGCCATAAATATATAAAAACTCACCTAAAACAAAAAAAGAATTGTTATTATTTGATTTAGATAAAAATATAACTACAATAAAATCTTACTGTATGATTAAGATATGTCATTAATGCCAGACTTGTGTATACCAATTGATCGACAGCATATGGATAAAGAGTTGCTGGAGTAAATGTAACATTGAGTGAATAAATACGATAAATAGTATAAGGTATTAAAAAGAGTACAAAAAAAATAACACGTACGAAAATCATCGCTGTTAATTGTCGATCAAGTCGACGGCGTTCAACAGCCACTTGACGTCGAACAAGATTTCGAACATTACGATATGCTAAAAGAGCGAATGAGGATGAAGCAAGAACTGGTAAAAGTCCATGCAAAATAGGATAATAAAAGAAAGAATAATAATGTATCAAACCAACATTAGTTATAATACAACCACTTGATGGAACAATCTCATATAAAATACTACATGGTATACTTTGACAAATCCAAAGAAGAATGGCTACAACAGTTAAACGATGAGCTAATCGAAGTGAACTCATCTGTCTAATTATGAGTTGAGGATTTGTTGATAGAAATTGATCCAGTGCAGCAAAACACACCATTGACGTTGCAATTAATCGTAATGTTTGAGGTAATGCAAATCTTATTCTACACCAAGCAAGAGAAGTATTTCCAGGATCAGGTTTGATTGTAAGTGATAAAATATTTATAATAAAAAGCATAAATAATTGAAGAGTATCGAAAGTAGATTCCATAATAAGATAAAAAGCACATTGATTAGATCGAAATAGTTTTAAAGTAGTAAGTACACCAATATTGATTAAGCCTCCAATAGTTCCAAGAACGAAAATAGTCATTGTAAAATATAATGAAAAATTTTGCGTAAAAGCAAAAATATCATAAGCTGTTACCATGTTTAATACTTGCTAATGTGATAACTTGTAAAAGTTCCTCTAATTCTCGTCTTACTAACGATGCTTTTATATGAATTTTTCTATTTTTTTCTTCTCATGCTTGTTTGCATTCTATTTCTATGAAATAACATTTCAGAAAAGTAATGGGTCACTTTAACGCAATTTTATGCAAGGAAAACAATGAAAATAACATTCCTGATAAGATTACCACCTACAAACTCGCCTTTTTTTTTGAAGAAATCTTTACTTTTATATATTTATTTATAGTCTACTGGATAAAGTATAATTTATATTAATTTCATACGCGTTGCTAACGATTCTATGTTCATCTAATAAATCATTTTGAAAATAGTTCTACTTTTATTTAGGGTAATATCGATTGAAAATATACAAAAACGTACGAATCTAGTGAAAATTATCTTTAAGCATGATATTTATAAGTTTTACGAATGAAAAATACAAGAATATAATATGACTGTACAAGTCGTTATCAGAGAAAATTCTAGTCTATTTAGTGAATATAATTGTCTATTCGCAATGACAAACAACAATCCAATTAATAAAGAAAAATTGATTAATTGAAGTGAAAACTAGATATGCAAGTCAAACATACTTGAAGATATCATGACAGATATCAAAAGTATGTAGTTAAAAGAGATATCTATTTTTTCTTTCGACGCCTAGAAATAAATAAAGATGCAGGGAAATAATATTTTTCGTAATAATTAATATTGATCTTTAGTGGCTGAACAAATGCATTCAGCATCTAGAAATGATGAATTGATATCAATGGAAGTTTCTAACAATTTAACAATGTTTATTGTAAATATTTTCGTGTCATTAGTCTTAACTTTGACTTAAAATATATCTTTATACAAATGGATGGTATATCATAACTATATTATTCTTAATCGTACTCATTCTTCTGAGTTTCAATTTTAAAAATGTGAGCATCATAACCTTGACTGTGATTATCATAAAATAATATTTTTTCTCTAAAAATGATTGTAAAACTATGGTTTTGATAATAATTAAAGTTTCTAAACCTTTTTCATTTTATCTATTTTTTTCGATACAGGTTTCTCCCTAGATAAATATAGACGATTCTTTTTGTATATTCAAAGACAGTTCGTCAGTTATCTTACTGTCTCAAGTTATATTAAGAAGAATACCAGCGCTATATCATACTCTTTATCTTCTGATTATTTGTATAATAATTCAAATACATTTGAAATTTTGCCATGAGATACACGGTCTTTAGATTTTTAATGTATGATTGGCATTTAAAATTTATCTTTTTAGTTAGAATAGAAACTAATTGTATTCATAATAATATAACAGATGCAAAAGTATGTCAACTGAGATTGCTTTCACCTACATCGTTCTCATTTGAACAGAACAGAATGTAAAAGAAAAACAAATATTACTTAGTGCCTCGCACTCTTTTTTCTTTCTCTGCTCTTTCTTGGCTGGATATATTTTGTTGTATCACATGGCGACAGTCATATGAAGAGAGAGAAAAAAAATAATAAAACACAACTTCAATGTGTAGTAATTTTAGATGGTCTGAACAAAAAGAATATAGTATAATAGAAAGAAAATAAAAATTTATATGTAAGTTTTCTTTAATAAATATACTACAGTTTTAAATGATTTCAGATATGTATCTTTTGATTAGTTTTACTTTTCTGATATTACAGTTTATAATACACAGTCAGGGCAAACTCGATCCATGTCCTGTCCCATGGCGTTTACCATGTCCACTTCCTCCATGGCCACGCACATATAATATGCAATTATCAACACAAAATTATTTTGGTTCCAGTGAAGATTTTTATGATAATGAAACAGTTTCTTTTGCTGCGTTACATGGTGTAATCGGTATTGATTGGGCTAATCATTATAGTCTTCCAATGCATCGAGAAGATACGCTAGCACAACAAGCAGCTATTATTAAAGCTGTCAATCCGAAAACTCGTGTATTCGTTTATCGTCAAGCTGAACTTGCACTTAATATCTTTGATACTAATGCAATTGTAATGTATAATTCATCAAAAACTAATTGGTTTGTTTTATTTCCAAATGGTACTATTTATAATGATTCTACTACAGTATTCCACTATCGTATGGATCAATTCTGTTGGGATCATAGAAATCCAGATGTACAAGATTATTTTGTCAATTCTTATATAGCTAGTGCTTTTAATCAATCAGCTGTAGATGGTATTTTCTATGATGATGATACAGGTATTTGGGCGGAAAGATCTAATTATCCTAATTATACTGAGGAGTATCGACTAGTTGTCGATGCTGCTACGCAAGTATCATTAAATCGAGCATGGGAACTTGGATTACGATATAATAAACATGCATGGCAAGCTTGGTTAAGTCCGAATGTACCTACTAGTCAAGATACAACAGCTGTATGTGTAGAAAAAATGAAAACTGCAATATCGATGAAAGATGTACCTGTTACATTTCCTGCTATGTATAATGGAGCATGTAGTACTCCATGGGAACAATGCAAAGATCTTAAACAACAATTAGCTGCATTTTTAATTGCACGTGGTGATTATTGGTTATTTTTTACACCAAGTACCTGGTGGAAAGAAGGATTTGAAACTAATTATGGTATACCATTAGAAGATGCTTATGAACCATTTCCGAATTTCTTTGTACGAGAATGGAGTAATTGTACTGTTTATCTCGATTGTAACAATTTTAATTCAGATATTATTTTTCATTCTCGTGCAATGTCTGCTCATCGAAAGAAATTATCGCATCATAATTCAATTCTTATGAAATATTTCGTTCACTTTTATCATCTTCTATGTCGATTTTGTCGTATGTTTTACTTTTAAAATTTTTAAACAAAATTAGTTCGTAATAAATTTCATTGAATGATTTCTTTTTTTTTATAATAAATATTAACTATAAACTTTAACTGTTAGAAATCTAGTCATGAATCAAGTTTTGTTAATGTATTACTTTTTTTTTCTTTCTTCTCTTGTTTCGAGCAAGACGAATACTTGCGTCGAATTGAATGAGAAATTGTCGAATATACATATGAAGTACATCACTGTTTATAGTTAATGAATTCTTAGCAGGATTATTGAGAGAATCAAGCATATCAAGAAGATTTTCTGCAAGTATAATATTTGAATTTAATTTGTCATTAATTTCTGACAAATCAGATGAGACAGTCGTAGGTAAACATGTAGTTTCGATGGATTTATTATATTTTTGGTATATATTTGGATGTGAAGAATGTAAATTGAATTCATCTGAAATATAAAATAATTCAAATTTAATAATGTAAAAGAGTAAACGTATATTTACCAGATTTCGAAAAGTTCGTTAACAATTGAATGTTATCTGATGATCTTCGATACAGATCAGGACTATTTTTGTCTAATGTATCGCTATCTAAAGTGTACAAACTATCATTACTTGTCGATGATCTACTGTGTTGATGATAATTATTATTATAGTTTAAAATAGATGATTTCTTCAGCTGTTCTTGACCTTGAATAGAGAGAGATAAAGAATTCGATTTAATTAATACTCGTTTTCCACTAATATTTATTCTATTATTTAAATTTGATCGTGTTCTTAAATGTTTACAATTAATTTTCGCCATTTGTTTTTCATAAATTAAATCAATGCTCTTTGATTTTTTCGGTAAGATAGGTATTTGCCATTGATTTAAATTCCGAAAAGGTTCAAGTAACTGACAGCAATAAGTTTTATTATTCAATCGATTGATTACTGGAGAAATAAAATCATCATCACATGATACAGAAGTTGAATTGTTTAAAAAAAGACTATTATCTTCTTCTATTTGCGATTTATTGATTGATTGATAAGTACGAATTAAAGTAAATGGATATTGATCATGATTATCTTTTTCAGAAGAATTAAATGTAAGTGTATCAGTTTGATAATCTTGTTTATCAATATCAATACCAAATTGTTCTGTTTGATCGTTCTCGTCATATTTCAAAGTATTAATTGTTGTTAGGAGAAAATCTGGTGTAAATTCTGTACTTGCTTCTAAACATGTATTTGAAGATTCTAATTCGATATAATGTTGAAGTTTTTGTCCAATACATTTGAGTAAACGTTTAGTTTCTTCTTTTTTTGTTGACCATTGTTGATGAAAACGATGCATTAATGAGTGTATAGTTGTTTCTGAATATGAAATTAATTTATGATGCGAAGATGAATATTGTTGATGATGATGAATATGATAAATATATGTGTCGGAAAGAGTATGATTTAATCGATGACCAGATAAATTCAACGTAACTAAACAAATGAAATATTAGTAATGAAGGATTTATATATTATTTTTACCACTTGTTGATATTAAATCTGTATGACTTAATGTATCGATAGTTGTCTTTTGTTTAATCTTAGATGATTCTGGTTCGTGAACGTCAAGTTCGACTATATCATGCATTGAATTAGTATGAAATTGACTATTGTTAGATGATTCGAGCATCGTTTCTGATTGTATATTAGTTTGTGTTCCAGTATTTGAAACTATAGGTTGTTGAAGAGAAAAATCGTTTTCATTGGTTGATGTCATTTTTTCGACAGTATTTTTCTTTAATAATTCAAACATAATTTTTTCATTATTAGAACTTGCTAAATATGTTAATAAAATTGCGAGTTGGTTAGTAATTGTAACTTGTAATGATGTTATATTCTGTTCAGTTAATTCATATTGAATAAGTTTTCGTATCAAAAAACATAATTCTTCTATAGATTCGGATAATAATGGAACTCGTTTTAGTTGATCATTTTCTTCGGAGATACATTTAGATTCAATAGATGATGTTGTTGGTATTTGATCGATGACTAAATGCTCTATTAAATCTGTAGTATCACCGATTAATATAAATGATGTTTTATTATTATCAATATTTGGCATGAATGAAGATATTAGAATATCATTGAGTAAAATAGATGGAACTTGTATAGGAGATATAGTTTCAGTAACAGGTTTGAATTCTTCAATATCTTCATTTTTATGGATTGATGATTCGTTCGATGAGTTTTGTAATGATATATTGATAGAATTTTCTTTAAAAATATGACTGGAATGGTTGACTATATAAGTAATAAAGTACTAAGGTAACTTTTTGAAAATATTATATTACTTTTATTTTCAGTTATTATATTTTCTATCGAAGATATTTTTGATGGTTGTATTGTCTTTCGTGAATTCATCACCAGACTATTTGTATCTGATAAGTTCGCTGAAGAATCAATTAATAAAGACGTAGATGATATAGAAGTATCACTGGTATTTGACATGAGTTTTGTTATTTCTGAAGGTTTACTCAATGGTGATAACATTATAGGACAAGGAACTAATGATCTAGAATATTGTTGTTGTTGAAACTGTTGAATATGATCAAATTGTGATGCGGTAATATTTGCTTGAAGTTTCCGCCATGTAGAAGTACGATTTAATGGCAATGTTGATCGAGTAATCTAAGAAGAGAATATGTTTGAAAAAGAATTTTTAAGTGACTTTAAATCCTGCACAGATACAGTAAACAACAAACGTCTCTGTTCTAGACGAAGACTATTCAAAAAATAGTAATATAGTTAGTAATGTTGAGAATGGTAATTACGCGAGTGCTGTAAATGATATATAGGTTATAACTTAACAAAGATGCGTTAGTTTATAATGAAAATAGACTTTCTAAGAATAGTACTTACAAAGGATCTTTTCAATGAATCATTAACTAATAATGGTTTACGTGGTATTGGCCGTATTATATCTTTGTGTATCATATCAATAATATGTTCTTGATTATTAGTAAATCTTTGTTGTTGATATTGATGAAAAGTATTTTTCTTATCACCATCAGCCATTTGTGATGTATGCTGATGATGTTTAACAGTCACTGTTGGTTTTTTTTCCATATAAAATTCAACTTCATGATCTGACGATTCTATAGACATAATCTTGTTTTTCATTGTCTTCTCAAAAGTATGAATATCATCTTTTAGTAATTTGTATGGATGAAGTAAATGTTTTGGTTTATATTTTGATCGTCGTGATGATGAGAATAATGAAGATTCTAATGCATTTGTATTTCGATATATTTTTTGTTTATAATATGACGATGTTTGTAGTTGAGGATTAGAAATAAGAAACTCATCAGACAAACAACAATATAAATCAAAGAATTCATGATGAGGACAAGACATGTCAATAGAAGAAAGGCAAAAATACACTCATAAATATCAAGTATACCTTAGACGAAAAAAAAACTATTTCTTAATAAAATGAATGTTTTCTTCTTTGCAATGATGATATATAATATAATAGATGCAAGAAAAAGATACACCGACATGTTGAAAAAAAAGCAGGCGCCAAGTATCTCTAAAATAATTTGATGAGTTAAAGTAAAGAACAAAATTATACAAAGATGATATTTTTTCAGTGCTTGAACTCGAACTATATATGTATAGTCTACACCCACCCTCTTTCTCCCTCTCTCTATATCTCTTCTTCTTTTGTTCTTGATTGTGTTTTGTGCATTGATACCATGATTGTGAATAGAGACACAAACGACCTACGAAATTCACAATCCTTTAGTAAATAGATGATCAATTATACGTCTCTCTTTTTCTTTCGTTCTCTTTTCGATACATGATATACACGTGCATACTCATTATTCTTGGAGAGTCGATTTTATCTTGACTGAATTTAAAACTACGAAGACAGCACGTACAATGCTCTTGAATTACTTATGGTTTTTGCTTTTTAGCAATACTCTAATTATTATCGTTCTAGGTGATTCAGACCATTTACGAGGTAAATACAATTCATCGATATAATTTTATTTAATTATATATATTTATTAGAAATGCGTTTTAAATTTTGGCTTCAACCTGGTACTGAAGAATGTTATCATGAAGTACTAGATAATGGTACCAGTATGTATTTTATGTATGAGATTCTAAATGCACATACAAATGATAACAGTATTGTTGCTTATTTTCGTAATGCTCATAATGGAAGTATTATTGCTGTTTCAACTACACCACAACGAGGTCATCTTGAAATCATAGCTAATGAAACAAGTTAGATTTATTTTCTTTCGATACAATTTTTTTAATGAATTCTTTTGTAGCTGTAATCGATATTTGTATGACACATGCACAAGCAGATACTTATGTTAAATATATGTCTGTATTTTTTCATGTTTATCATATTGAGAAAATCTTAGCTAGTATAAAAGAAGTTGAACATTTTGATAATTCATCAATGAATGCTCATGTATGTTGATAATATTTTATTTTTTTTTTTCTTATTGAATAATTTTAGAATGCACTTGATTCTATAAATCACCATATTATTCTTACACGTGAAAGTCTAATGGAAATGGAAATGCTTAATCAAAAAGATCTTTATTTAATTCAAGAAAATTTATCATGGGTCAATCGATGGGCAGTTATTCATATTATTTTAATTATTACTTGCAGTCTTTTTCAAACATTTTTTATTAGACGATTATTTCAAACATCAACAAAATATACAAGAAAATAAAAAATCTCAAAATGGAATTATTATAACAACCTCTTGCTCATCATGAACTCTTCAGCTTATTATTTAAATATTAAAACTTTATTATATGATACATTTCAAAATACAAATTGATTCAGTTTTTTTCTAACCTATTGAGTAGATAATGTTGTTTAACAATATAACTTTGTCGAGAAAATGACAGTTTTATATCAAATATATTTCGTTTATCACAATATCTGAAGTGTAGCTTTTCATAATAACATCAAGATTTATAAAGCTCTTGCATTTACATGAAACGAGGTTTTATCGTTTTTTTGATCGAAAATAATAGTATAACACATATTTAAGTGCCGAAAATTTCAAATCTTTTACTTTTCTCTCATATTCTAAGTATTGAAGGTTTAAACTTTTTTTCGTGTTTCAATATATTTATTAATTATTAAAATTTATTTTCTAATTAAAGAAGCATACCATTCAATTAACATTTTATTTTGCAACAAAACAAAGACATCGATTTATAGAAAGGAAAAAAACATAAAAATACAGTTTAAGTTGGACTCATAGTAACTAATGATGATGGTGAATCTGCCGTATCTGATGGATCATCTCCTTTAACAATCATTGATGTTGATGAGTCTTCGGATGTAGCTAATGGCATTTTTTTGTTACGTTTCCATTTCATTCGACGATTTTGAAACCTAATATTAATTTTTGCATATAAATAAACAATAAAAACTATTTTTTTTACCATATTTTAATTTGTGTTTCACTTAACATCAGTGATGTAGCCACTTCAAAACGCTATAAAAATAATAATAATATATCAAAGAAAATTAATAAAGAATTTTTTTACTTTAGGTTTTGATAAATATTTATTTTCTCGAAATTGTTTTTCAAGTTCAAGTAATTGTTGTGATGTAAATGCCGTACGTGGACGACGAGATTTTCCATAATAAGATATAGCTGAATCTAGATGGGAAAAAATATATATTCGGATTTTTTTTATTAATAACGGTGTTATTTCCTGCTATAATCATCATCTAAGATGCATATGATCATCACATCAATTTCTCGATCATAGTAATAAGTTGAACAAATATATCTTGGGCGCTCAATTGACTTTTGATCATGTGTGTCAACAATTATACAAACTTCCTCTCTTTCTCTTCCTCTCTCTCTGTCTCTTCGTCTGATCATCATCAACAACACTACTAAATGAGAAAAGAGGAATGTGTGAAAAATCGCGTCTTACCATAATCAATAAGCAATTAATGAACTCGATGTTTAAGTGAGTAAGAGACAACAAGAAGAGGAGAAAAAAAACTCATTCAATATTAATAATCAATAATCATTATTTTCGTAGAAAGATTTTTTTTCTAATCTCTGATATATATTATTTAAAAATAAATTTTTTTAGTAAATCATAATTACTTTGATAAGATGTTGAATTCAGTTTATGTAATGAATAGAAATCATTTGAAGAAGGTGGAGGGGTTTCAAGAGGAAAAGATCTCATTAAATTCGTTTTATTATGATGATGTTGTTCATTTAAACGAGCAGCAATTGCAGCATTTTTACAGAATACATTGTATAGATGTTGTACACTATTATTTAAAATAAATTGATGTTGGTCTTCGATGGAATTAGATTCTTCTTCATGTTTATTATTTTGATCACCGAGAATCGAAGCTATAGAGAATGTTGTCATGATTTTCACTTATCCGCCCAAAAACATAAATGATTCTACTATAACTGACTGTTGAGAAATATAGAGAGAAAACGAGAGAGAGAGAGAGAGGGAGAGGGAGAAAAAGGAGACTCGTGATCGATCAATCAAAATTATCATCATCATCATTTTATTTTTTTGCAGTTGTTCTCTGCGTTCTTTAGTCAACAATTGACGCAAGCTAGAAAAAGACAGAGTAAGCAGTGTAAGAGAAACAGAGAGAGAGATAACACCTCGTTCTCTCTCTCTCTTGCTCTAATAAAATCCAATTGAACACGATTATCTGTCGTTGAACTAAACGAGAATTGTGTTTGTGTATATATTTGCTCTCCCATCATCGCTTATTAATTGACGGATATTAAAATATGTCAAACGCAAGCTGTCCACCACTATAACTAACACTAACACGACAATTCATGATCAAAAGACAGTAAAAGAGAGAAGAGGAAAAAAAAGATCTCTCAACTTAGTGATAAAGAACAATGATGAATTTAATTGAAGGACAAACGTATTTTGTTCCTTGTCATGTATATTAACTTTTTTTTCTCTTCTAAAGGTGATGGTTATGCATTGTTCAAGTGTATATTATTTGCGTGTCGAAAGAGGATAGTATAAAGTTGGTTATGGCTGATAAATGTTATATTGATATATATTTATCAAGTGCTAAAGCATGACAAGTTGATGATGAAGAGCAATGTCTTTTTCTTCATTACTCTTAAAACTAATAAAATAAAAAACTACCGTTTAATAAGATAAATTAGAAAATAAAGAATTGTTTCACAGAATTATTTGTTATGTAAGATATAGACAATTAGAATTAATAATCTTAAGATGAAGAAAGACAGATCATTCATTTCTGTGAATATTTATTCATATCTTTTCTTTTTTGCTTCTCGTCTGACGTTATCAAACACATCAGGTGTATTTGTCTGCAATATTTGTTTTGGATATACAGATCATTTTATCAGAATCATTGACATTCATCAGATAATAGGTAGTTATCAGTTCAATACGAAAATATATTAATAAAAGTTAATTGTTTATTTTTTGAAATTCATTTATAAAAATCAATGATAATAAGAATAATCTACAATTATCTTGCTGACATTTCCAGCAGGTAAAAGATGTTTTTACATGAATAAAATACTCGAATTCAAACTAATTTTGTACAGATATGTAAAATCATATTTGTGTTTCTCAAAATGCTTTATTATTATATTCTCGTTTATACTCAAGAACTGATGACGAGATTTATCGAATGATTTTATTGCATGAAGAATTTTGGAAGTTATTTTTTATACAGAAATCCAATGTATGTGACATAAAACAACATTTTTAAATAAGAAAAATATATAGTTGCAAAAATCCGTCAGTTTTATGATACAATTTACAATTGGTTCAATAGTGTCAAAATTTTTAATTTTAACCAATGATAAAGAATCTTCCGAAATAGTCATGCTTTTTAGGTCGATTAGTCATACATCTGTTATTTTTATATTTATTATTAACTCTTTATTCAGTAATGTTCGTACAGAGTCAATCACGATACTAACCTATGAGAATGCTCAATATGACATTGATATAGTAAATAGCGACCAGTACCACAATTTTTAGGAAAAACTAAATCTTCTGTTGTTACGATTGTCTTCTAAATATAAAATTGTTGATACATATTCTCATTGAAAATCGCATATTTCTATTGTTTTCAAATCGTTGAGAAAAAAAGTATAGAAAAATAACTGTATATTGCTTCTTGATTGATTATCACTTATTATAAACATAGTATTATAGTTTATATCGCACGTAAGAATATTTAAATACATTAAGTAACAAGGGTAAGAAACTACATTTTTTGAGTCAAATTTCTTAATTAAGAGATGATAAAAACCATTAGAATTCTCTAAAAATATTCTAGAGCTACCTTTGTCTATGTTCCTTTTCAATATACCAATAGATAAACATTTTTTTTTGTGTATTTTTAAGAATACTATCACATTTTATATTAGTACTCTGAATAAATATCCAAATAATCATAAATATCACACAATCGATTATAAAATCGTTGCATCTGTATTATGTTTAATTAGACGAATTTTTCAGTAATAATTTATAAAACTACTTACTTAGATATCGCATCTATATAGACTCTTTTATTAAATATTCTTAGAATAAAAGTATTTATATAATGTGAAAATAACATCTTCAGACTTAATTTTTATTCATTCTTTGTTGTTGAATAGACTGTTTAATGACTTTTTAAAAATACCAATCGTATGAGACAATTATGAACAAACCTAATGACTTATTCGAGTAAATAAAAAAATATTTTACGGAAAGAGATGACAGCATCTACTTTAACAGTTATGATGGTATATTACATAGACGTTTGAAATTTTTCTTTTTATAAATTATCATACAATACAAAATTTGTAAGTGTAATATTACGATCAGCATTTAGTATCAATAATATTTTACTGTAATTCTGTTAATTCATTTACTATGTTACAAGAGAAATTAGAATCTAGAGTAATTTAAAGTTATTTTAACCTGCTTTAGATTTTATTTTTTCCTGTGACAACTATGGAACTGACAAGAAAGAAAATTCAAAAATATCTTGGACTTTATTTCTATATGTTATGAGATAATTCATGAATGAATAAATCCTGCCAGTTTGCTTATATGTTATCTGTGTCAGGAAAAGAAATAATATATAATTTTAATAAAATAAAATATACAAATTATAGTGTATCATAATGGATCTATTAAGTTATTTTCATAATACTATTGAATAATCGGTTAAAATCCAGACGTTATTATATAACGCGTACTTTTTGAAGTTTTTTTTCTTTGATGTCAGTCATAATTAGAACAAAAAGAATCATCTTTTTCTTTGTATTTTTTTATTATACAAAAGTAAAAAAAACTGTCAAGGTATTTTCCTATTTCAATGATGTCTCTTGTGCTATTCATTAAAATTGTAATGCGTAAAAAAACAGCGCATTACTTTCTGGAAGATTTCTGATTTCTCTAAAAGTAAAATTAATTCTACGCATTTTGTTCTTTTTGTGCGTTATTATCGTTCTGAAAATTAGGTAAGTAGTACTTGTTATCAAATCCAATCTTTTTAATTGAAATATCGACACTTTGAATGACAACTGAGAATAGATAATTATCATCTACTTAGATGAATGTAACCTTATTAAAAATTCATACTATCAGTATTTACCGACATTGTTTTTTCTATGATATTATTTTAACTATTGAAAATCATGAATGTTCTTATCTTGTCGAGCGTTAACGCTAGACTGAATTAAAATCTGCTTCATTATTTTTATGTTTCATCTAATGGTATTGTAAAATTATATTTGGATTGACACATATATTATTGTGAGTTGTAGATATAACATATATATACAGAAACTACTAAAAACAATATATGGCATCGCGTTCGGTATCAATAATTAACAATATACAACAACAATATTTATTTTATAGTAGTACTATTCTTTTGCCTCTTGGATGTATTGGTAATCTATGCGAAATTTTTGTTTTTATGACATTAAGATCCTTTCGTGGTAATCAGTGTACGTTCATTTTTATAGTAGAATCGATTTCAAATATTGGATTACTTCTTTCGATTTTTTTACCATATTTTGATACTCGTATAGAAGGCCGGGACCCAACAAATGTTTCAGTTGTTTGGTGCAAGCTGCAGGGGCCAATTCAACAAATATTTGGTCTCTGCTCACTTTTTACAATCTGTTTTCTTACTTTTGATCAATACATGTGTACAAATCCTCGACCTTATTGGCGACAAATTATTTCATTAAAATTTACTCATCGTTTTATTTTTTTCATGATTTGTTTTGTTATTCTTCATAGCATTCCTTTTTTCATACTTACTGAACTTCGTCCAACATCTGGTTGTAATATATTCTCTGCAGCAATGAATTCTTATTATAAATATTTCTATTATCCAATATTAAGCAGTTCTTTACCACTGGTTATCACTATAGTATTCAGTTTATTCAGCTATCGTAACGTTCGTCGAATTGTACGACGACAAATACCTATAGATCGTCGTCGATTAGATCAACAACTTACCGCTATGGTACTAGCACGTGTAGTTTGTCTTATTTCGCTTGGTTTACCTTATATTTTTTATAATCTATATCGAGTGACTTTTCGAACAGCAGAAACAAATCAAGTAGTATTGGCAGTGACTAATTTAATAAATAGTATTACAAATTCAATGTTATACATTAACTTTTCGGTAAGATAAAAAGCTATCTTTGTTTTTATAATTTATTATATATTTCTTCTCTTTAGATTAACTTTTATTTGTTCTTAATTATATCAACACGTTTTCGTCGTCAAGTTAAACGCTTTATTATCAAAAAATATTTGCATTTCATCCATAAAAAACATTCAAATAGAAATCAAGTTGCTCCAATAATACCTCATTTGATTATATCTAATGTTGAATCTTTATAATTTCTATATCTAATACTCAATAATATTTCAGAACATCGAACTGTAATGTCTATCTTATTTTAATAAATTATTTATAACATTCAATAGAAACCAACTAATATTAGTGAGCTGAATACTAACTTTCATTGAATTTATTTTTCAATTAAGTCCAAGTTCTTATCACATGGCATATCAAGTATCTATTCAAGCATTGAAAACGATGTCTGCCAGAACATTTTAATTCTATTTTTTTGTTTATAATCTTATGTCTTTAAATTGTAAGATAAAATATACGGAAATTAAATATAAATTGTTATGATTAATATAGACAAACAGTTAGCATGATTAAAAAGCCCTCATTGAGTTTTCTCTGCTCAAGAGTTTTATTTACAGATATCTGTCTGATTTATTTAAGAACATTTTACAGTCATGCATAGCTGATGCGCTTGACATTCGCAGAGCATAATATTCATTTAATGCATGAATATGAGCGGTCGATATACAGGTAAAAATATTTGTTTAATGAATCAATTAACTAGAAAATTTAATTAATCAGAATCTTTTTAATTAGAATATCTGCTTTTGTTTTAATAATATAGATGTACTCCGAAGGAAAAAAAGCATGTTTCGTTAAATAAATAGAATAATATTTTAAAAACTAACAAGATGATATAAATAAGAAGAGAATGACGTATTTGTCGAATCAAATTATTTTCTAGCGATGCTTCGATTATTCTGCTTGTCAACAATAAAATATAAAGATTATAAATTAAATTACTAGTTGGTATTTCTCAGAGAACAACAGTAGTCGTCATTTTACAAGAAAGAATATCTGCGATCTCTTGTGAATAAGATATGTCATCGTTAGAAGTAGCACAACGCATCTACGATATAGCAAACAAATATGAACTTTATTCAAGTATTTTTATATTGGTCATCGGATTGATTAGTAATCTTTTAATTATTATAATTTTTAACAATCTACGTATGTTTCGATCTAATCAATGTGCTTACTATTTAAAACTTGAGGCTATGACTGATATTGGTTTTCTTCTTGCACTTTTACCAACGACTATTATTAGTGATTTTTTGCATACAAGTCTAACGGGACAGTCAAATGTTTGGTGTAAAATACAAATGATGTTTGCTTATGGTTGTGGTTTATATTCCCTATGTACAATAAGTTTTCTTGCTTTCGATCATTATCTATTTACAAATCATCGTCTAAACTGGCGACAAACGAGTACAATCAAATTAGCTCATCGTCTTACATATGTCAATTTAGTTCTAGCGTTAATCCATGGATTAATCTTTCTTATTTATGCTGAAAATGGTAGATCAGGATGCACTATTTATCATCCTGTTTTAATAATCTACTTTACATATTTCTATTATCCAGTTTTAAGTGGTGCACTTCCAATACTTATTAGCAGTGTATTTAGTTTATTAGCTTATCGGAATGTTCGTCGAATTATTCGAAGACAATTACCAGTAGTACGTCGTCGACTTGATCGTCAAATGACAGCACTTGCCCTGGCGAGAGTTTTGAGTCTTTGTATATTTGCTACGCCATTTCTTGCTTGTAGTCTGTGGCGACTTAATACAGTATATGCCGATGATGATAACGTATCATGGGCCGTTCTTGTTACGATATCAGTAATTGCATATTCATTATTATATTTTAATTATTCAGTAAGTCATAATACTTTATCGATTTAGAAAATGTTTTATATAATTTTAATTTTGTAGATCAATTTTTTTGTGTTTTTATTTATATCATCACGTTTTCGTCATCAAGTGAAATATTTTTTTACGAAGAAATGCTGGTATTACTTGACAAACTTATATCGTTTTAGCTTAACACTTCCAGCGACAAATCAAGTTGTACCGGAGATGGGTCAAGAACCTGTATCGATACTAGAATCAGTATCTTGAGGATTTTTATTGGACAATATATATTCAAAACATTTCTTATTTATGACCTATACTAACTATATTTTATCGATTACCATACCACACATAACTTATTTTTCTTTATTCAAACATATTTATTATAAAGATACTGCAGCAAATGAAGGTTGGCGTGACATTAAATTTATATTGATTATTAGTCTCGTTTACGAATACAGAACACTTGAAAAACTTCAATTCAACATTTCAAGAAGTCATTCAATATTGTAATTAATTTAATGAATATAAATATCATAATGACATATGGAATATTTTTTATTACATCATGAATATCAGCATGCGAAGTATTTCAAGAAAAGAAAATTAACAAGCGCAATATTAAATTGTAATCGACATATTCACAAAAAATAAACATATTCTACAGTACATTATTTTATTCGCATTTTTTATGATTAAAACACGTTTCCTCAGTGTATGCTATAGATATTAGAATACAATATACTAGTGTCTGACAAAGTTTTGTATATATTCATATTCTATTAATAAAAGTATTCATTCAGAAATTGTTACTATGATGATATTTTCATGATTATAAATCGTTGTTTTTTGCAAATTAACTTTTTTTATAGGAAACATAAAGAGAAATTAAAGATTAGTTACGATTTTTTTTAGAAACCAATGTGAAAATCAAGATACCTTCATTTTTTCTCAAATACAACCAATGAAAATGATGAAAAGAAAAAACTAATTATTTAAATATTGTAATGAATTTGTTTATTGAATTAGTTAAAAATTTTATTTTAATAATGGCAAGAATGTTGTTTTGCTTTCCATTTCTCATTATATATAATCTTCATAGCTAGCACAAAAAACTTTTATTTTCAAATTTGATATAAATATTACATTAAATTGTTGTTTGATAATGGTGCTGATGCAGAGTTGAGTAACTCAATTCAAAAAATACTCTATTATGATTTAGCAAATACCGAATGGATAACTATTGATATCGCTATCCGATAATGAAGTCATAAGTATGAATTTCTTTCTCGTTATTATTTGTAAATCAGCATATTATGTTGTAAACAATAGATTTAAAGACAATTCTTTCACGCTTGGTTAATATATTCTTCTACTTTTATTCAATATTACATAAAAGAAAAATAAAAAGCTAATTTTTTCTATGTAGTAGGCGCAATCAATTGCTAAGTAAAACTTTGGCGACGGCAGCACGAACTAATTCAGTCACTCTAGCAGGATGATCCCGTTCGGGTATAGGTTTTCCTTCATCACCATTAGCAGTAGTGTCGATGAAAGAACTTGGATGAGCCAATACATGAAACTTGAGAAAATCATTTCCCTTGCTGTCGAGTTTACCACAATAGCCCAGTCCAGTATTGATGAGAATCATGCAATGTTCGTTTACTAGAATTTCGCCGACACGTGTATAAAGGTGAAAGAGTTCTACTGCATTGAAATGAAAATTGTGCTCGCCAAAATCTTTCAAATAAAAAGTCATTTTCATTTCATAATTAGGCATACCAAATATAATCAAAGATTCAGGTGCAGAATGACCACCACGACGTAAATTCCAATCACGTAATTTCAGTTGATTGTCGGAGGTAACGAAGAGATCCGTTGAGTAGGTGCCATTCTTGTAGGACAATGGTTCTGCCTCTATTTTCACCATACGATCGAATGAATCAAATATTCGTTGCCATAATTCAAGAGTATCATCGATATCATCGGGTTTCGCTGCCATCCACTAAAAAGAAATAACATATTTTTAGTAAGTATAATATTCCGAATTCAACTCAAAAAATGTCGGACAAAACGTAGAAAAGATCAGAAAATACTCAAGATAAGTGAATGAAACTACTGAAAATGATTGTGACAATTTGAGGAAGCTACATCTATTTGTTAGAATTAATAATTAATCCTAATGTGTTGAAAAAAAGAGTTAAGATTGAAAACATATATTAGTCTAGTATAAGGAAAGGACTAACCATGCCACCATATTGACCATGAGTCGTTCTTTCGATATTGACAGAAGTGGGATAGAACTTTCCATTTAACGCAAATCCACAAACACCATAGTCCGCAGGTACACCAGGCCATTTTTCTGCTGCTTCCATTTCCTCAACAACACCAAACGTTGGCAAGAGTGGTTCTTTCAAGCTATCGTTGATATGCTTTTCTAAAAATTCCACTCGTTCACTTTCTGATTTGGTTCGATCGTAGAGAAGTGCATAAGAATCTGGACTCATGTTGGTTCCACCACCACAACCTGAAGCATCGTATATGGCAAAAGTGTCTAGATGAAGATCGTTTTGTATATGCTCCACAGCACGAACAATACTCTGTGCGAATATTTTCACATTTTCCGGTGTCTTCTTGCGGCGTTCTGTTTTACTGGCAGTAACATAGGTTTTGTAGTCATCGATTGTAGTCCCATCCGAAGCGATACCAACTGTAACGAGAAGTTCAGAAAACTTGTGCGATTTTAGAAGGAAATGATGATTTGCTTTGTCGTCCGAGGGAACATCAGGTAGAATGAGTTTGTTTGAGTACGGTTTTAGTTCTTCTTTGTATTCTTTCAACATTTGGTAAGGATAGACGAATGTACATTGTGAGTTACGTGTAATTATATCCAAATGACGTTGTATCAAGTCAAGATGAAAGCGGAAGCTTGGTATAATTTGATCTGAAGGTCGTTGTGCAAATCGTTCACACACTGCTGTGTACTCTGCTTCGTCTTTAACAAATAGTTCCAAAATGTCCAAGAGTTCGCCTAAAGTAAATTAAAATAGAAATTTTGCTTTTCAGCGTTACAGCAAACTATTATTAATTTCATCATGTTAGGCGAGTTCAATTTTACGCTAACAGCTCCAGAATAAGAGCAGCTGTGAACAAATAGTCTTCTGCATTCAGGAAAGAAACATATATAGAAAGAGAGACGATATTACAAAAAACATCAAATTATACGATATCTTCGGAAACGTTTCTAGCAGATATCAGAAAGACTTAGGATTTGGATGTAGTTTGAGAAGCACTCATAACTTTCACAACTAAGCAAACAATAATAGTCAGAATTATATGTTGCTCAAGCTAAATAGTATTACAATGACTTGATATTTTTAAACTAAACAAATAAAGGAATTTATTCTGACCTTAGTATAACGAGCTGATGTAGTACAGATCGAACAGAATTCTATTTAGTCACAATAATATATTCTTCATTCTTATGACTGTTGATCTAACATTTATTTTCGAAGATAAAATATCCGTACGTAGAAGATGGGGAGTATATAGATTCTAGTCGTCTCCAAATTATCTTATCTATTCTATCATTACAAGACTTCCTCTTGATTACTTAGGTAGAATCTCTCCGGAACAGATTCTGTCGTCAAATCTTCATACGCTAGATTTTTATATATTTGAACAGAGCTTTTTTTCAATTTATTTTCAACTAACTTCCAAGTGAAATCGTATTAACTTTTATCGATCAGTAAACAAATTTAATTATAGTTACTCTACTAAAATAAATCTAGCGTATTATTTGCAATGACACTCATCCGCTATGTATGTAAGAAAAAATGTTTGTAGTTTTGTCCTCCAAAAAAGATTTTCTTCTTACCCTTTTCTGTTTCGTATAGAATTTCAATAGGCACTTGCTTTTTCAAACGTTGTTCGACAAGTTTCTTCAACTTCAAATAACTTTTTATTTCGACTGGATTCGGCGGTGCATAAACGAGTACTTTGCCTCCTTTAGGAAAGCCAGTAGAAAACCACAGAGCACATAGGAGAGATCGATCGAAATCACTAACATCCGCTCCTGTCAATCCATCCAGTCCAGCAGGTGTAATATTGTCGAACATAAGTATGGTATCGGCGTTGTTAAACGTCACTGAAATTCGATGAGCTAATTCTGCTCGGTATTCCATTTCGGCACCATGTTCCACTCCCCAACTTGCTAAATCATCAGCGGATAATTTACTTAGTTCTTCACTTGTTCGGCCAACCACAGGTTTTTGCTGTTCGATGAGAGAGAAGAGATCGGTTGGAGTTGAACTCTTCATAGTTTTGTTTTCCACTGTTATAAACGGCATTATCTAAATTAAAATTAAAATGAGAAAAGACAGAAATTTAGGCACTATATCAATTCATCATTTATATAGAAGTGAAAAAGAGAGAAACAAACCATAGTGATAATTAAATTAAACAATTTATCTTAGCGTGTCATTCAAGCCATTACATCTATCTCAGGAGTTTTAATGACTCATATCTCGATTAAAAATAATACTTCGAAATGTTAGTATAGAAGTTCATTAGTATAAATACAAACTCGATATCGTCATCTTTAATTTAAACTCTGCTCTTTTAAAACTAATCTGAACTCTTTTTAGATATCTTTGATTTGATAATGTATTAAAATCAACTTCTATGTTTTATATTACAATGAAATTAAACTCACAAACAATGGCATCTGTGAATATCATTTGGCAAGAAAAAGGGTTATAAAAAGAATTTTTCAATAAAGTTAAATGAAATAACAAGAATATACAAAAACTCTAAGTCAGAGAGACTTTTGGCATACTCTGCAGTGCAGACAGAAACAGCTTTAATACAGTTTTATTTTCTTCTTTTTAGAAGTTTTACCAGCAATAGAATAGGATATTTGTCTCTAAAATTACTTAAATATTTATAAATGTACTACTTTACCTTGTATGATATATTGTTAAAGTGAAGTAAAATATGATATGCAATACAATGTACTTTTAACACGAAAACAACTGATCGATGTGATAAGAAAGAAAAAGATCAATGACGCATGACTGGGCGTGTAAGAAATAGATAAAAACTATCATATTTTTCTTTCCTCTTATAAACAATATAATAGTAATGCACGTGCAGATAAATGAAAGTTTACTTTTACTGTATATTCAGATTGAACTATGTACATAAGTTCACTTATTCCTTCATAACATGACAACTATATGTAGGTTCCAACCCTTAACTCACATCCATAACATATAAATACCACTATAGATCGATCAATTATTTTATTATATATTTATTTCTATTATTCAAAATAAAACATAATTATATCATGAGAGAAATTATGTTTAGAAGTTATTGAAAATAAATCTTATTTAATAATAAACAACGATTATATTCTATTAAATTGTTTGAAATGTTAGCTATAGCCAGCAGAGTATGTCATTTCAGATCTCTTGTAATTGATCTGTTAGAAAAATATGTTGAAACTTTACTACAGATAATTTTATTTTATATTTAGCTGATTAAGAAAAAGTCTACTATCTAGTTGAGACAATTTTTATTATTACTAAGTACATTGTAGGGATATTTCTGTATCCAGCAATTGATGTATTGATAAGATAGACAGTGACCTCTCTTGAGCATGCCAGTGAATAGCGGTTTAGTTTTAACCAACCAAAGATTATAGCTAGTTATGAGCATGGGTAGTACGGTGTGGAGATCTTTTTCGTGGACTCCGAAATCAAATCATACAATAATAGATAGATTTTCATATATGCTATGAGTATGAGTATAAAACAGTTCTCGATATAGTATATAAATTTTATGAATAAGGACTCTCAATAATCATATTATTATGTCAATTTAATGTAATCCGGATTAATTGAATCTGTACTTATTTTTTAAGTTATAATGAAAATAGAACAACATATCTTGAATACCTTTCTTCTCTTCAACCGGTTAACAAATGATATTATCTATTGTTTTTTCTTTCATTTGATACCTTGTTTTTTGCTTCTTATCTCTATTGTCTTTTAGAGATGTATTCGTTAGGTTTAGATATTGGTACGACATCCTGTAAAATTTGTGTTGTTTCAGTATCAACAACAAATGATGAAAAGAATAATGTTGTTTTTACTGAACAACTTACTCATAATGCTCATATTGTTCAAAAAGAATTTGTTTCCTATGATGAACAATCTCCAGTAAAGATACTTGATACTGTGAATACTCTTCTTGAGAAATCAGGTAGTTTTAAAGATGATATTGAAATTAAATCAGTTCAAATTTGTGGTCAAATGCATGGTTTTATTCTTTGGTCATCAAAATCACCACGTACAATTGTTTCTTCACTTATAACATGGCAAGATCAACGATGTTCAACAGAATTTCTTTCATCACTTGGATCATCCTTAGCACATTTACGAACAGGTTATGGTTTAGCTACTTTATTATGGTTAATCAATCAACAAAAAGGAAAAGAAGATGAATTAATAAAATATGATCGTGCAGGTACAATTGCTGATTATATTGTTGCAATTCTTTGTGAAGATTCAATAACTAAATCACAAATATCAAATCAAATGGCAACTAGTTGGGGTGCTTTAGATAATAAATGGCCTATTGAACATCGTTTATTACCGGAAATTGTTGAACCAGGTACTATTATTGGTTATTGGAAAAAAAACATTCCTGTATATGTTGCTCTTGGTGATTTGCAATGTTCTACATTTAGTTGTCAACCCAAAGAAAATGAAGGTATTATAAATATTTCAACATCAGCACAACTTGCTTTAGTTGTTGATCAAAAATTATCTACAGTACAAGATGATAATCTTTCATTAGCATCATCAATGCGTGTTCCTTATTTTCAATCAAAAGATTTATTAGTTGCTGCTTCACTTAATGGTGGTAATATTCTATCTGCATTTGTTCATTTAATTAATTCATGGCAATTATCTTTAAATAATAATAATAACAATTCTTCATTTTCTCTTGATATACTTTGGTCTCGATTAATTGAACTTGGTCTTCAATCAACATCAACTATTGAGAATTTATCTGCTGCTTTATTTGGTGAACGACATGATCCATCTATGTCAGCGTCAATAACAAATATTCGTTCAATTAATATGTCACAATTGAATGATATTGGTTCAGTATTTCGTTCTGTATGTCAATGGATAATAAAGAATTTATTTGAAATGTTAGGAGAAGATTCCCTTAAAATGAAAGGTATTATCGGTACAGGTAGTGCTTTAATGAGAAATGGTGTTTTACAACAAGAATTGAAAAAAAGAGTAAAATGTCAAGTTATATTTAATGAACATTCCGATGCTGCTTATGGCTCTGCTCTATTTGCTTTGATGCAATAAGAAATTCTATTTGATTTGTTTTTATTTTAGATAATAGAATATATTTCATGTCAGAAGCAGAAGAAGAAATAATTGATGTTATTGTAGTAGGAGCTGGTATATCAGGTCTTTATGCAGCTTATCGACTTCAGCAAAAATCACCCGAACTTAAAATACTTGTACTTGAAGCTAAAGGTAGAATAAAAACAAAATTCAAAATAAAATTCTTTTTATTTTACTTTAATAAAGATCGAGTTGGTGGTCGAACATTAACAGTTGATTTACAAACATCTCTTAATGAAAATGAAAGTGAAACTGATCGATTTGATCTTGGTGGTCAATGGGTTACTGAGTATGATAATTCTATTTATTTTAAAAAAAAATTCTTAATTTAATAAATTTAGTACACAAGTAAATATTACAGCATTACTACAAGAATTACAATTACATACTTATGATCAATATCATACAGGCAAGAGTATAGCAGAATTACATCGTCGTGTACGGCAATATTCTTTATCATTACCATATATTTCATTACTTTCCTTTCTTGAAAGTATTTATAATATTCTTCAAGTAAAAAACGAAACATCAGAATTATTTTATTCTTTATTATATATTTTATAATAGCTTGAAAGTTTAGCAGCAAATGTTCCAACATGGAATCCAATGATGGCAAGAAATGCTGATTATCTCGATCGACATACATTAGCACATCTAATGAAACCATGGATATGTAATAGTAAGATATCTAATCTACAAATAAATTAAATTTTTAAAATTATTCTTGATTAAATAGGTGCAAATCCATTGATGACTGCAGCTGTACGAACTGTTTTCGGCTGTGAACCTGAACAAGTAAATGCTTTATTTGCATTGACATATGCACAAGCAGGTGGTGGATTTATGAGATTAACATTAACAGATCCTGGTTGTGCACAAGAAAAGAAAATTAAAGTGAAAAAAACAAACAATTACATTCAATTTATTATCTTTGTTTAACTATAGGGCGGGTCACAACAAGTATCACAATTACTTGTTGAAAAAATTGGTAAAGATAAAGTTCTTCTTGAAACACCAGTACAAAAGATTGTGCAAAATGATGATGGTCAGTATAATTCATTCATATTTACCTTCTGTAATGATATTTTTTTTAAGGAATTGTTATTATAACAACAACTCAAAATCAAACATTTCAATGTCGTAAACTTATTTTAGCTATTCCACCTTCACAAATAAGTTAGTTTAATTATTCATTAATTAATTCTTATAAATTTTTGTATTTGATTAGTTCCAATACAATTTGAACCAATGTTACCTGGATATAAGCGTGAAATGTTAAAACATATGCCAATTGGTAGTTATCTTAAATTTATTTTTACATTTGATAAAGTATTTTTTTTTGATTATTCTATTATAAATAAATTACATATTTAATTGAAATAAATAGGCTTTTTGGCGAGAAGATGGTCTTAGTGGTGAAGTAATTAGTGATGGAAGTTTTTCTCCACTTGGACAATCAATTGGTCCTATGACCTGTAAATAATGACAACATTCTTACAGAATATATATATTCATTTTAGTTGATTTTTATAGATTTAATTGATGGTACAACATCAAATGGTACACCAGCTTTACTAGGTTTTATTGGTGGTCGATGTGCATCTGTATGGACAAGTGTAACACGTGAAGAACGACGTAAAGGTTTACTTGAATGTCTTTCACGTTATTTTGGTGGTCATAAAATTTCTACACATTTAATTGACTATGCTGAAAAAGATTGGAATTTAGAACCTTATTCAGGTGGATGTCCATGTCATAATGCTACAACAGGAACAATGAAAGATTTTGTTGATGGTTTACGAAAACCATATAAAAATATTCATTTTGCTGGTACAGAAACAGCGAGTCAATGGATGGGATATATGGATGGTGCTGTTGATGCTGGACGACGTGCAGCATCAGAAATTCTAGTCTCATTTCGTCAAGATGAACAGTTGAAAGATGATGACATTGATCAATATACATTCGAAAATCAAAGTAAATTATTTGATTTATTCGAAAGTTATAATAATCTGATTTTTTTTCTTATTAGATCGTAAATACCAAAATTGTCGAGTACCACGATCAAATTTTTACTATGCAATTCCAATAATAATCGTTACAATAGCTGCTTTAACTAAAGTTTTCTATCCTAATATTTTTCAGTAATATCATTTTGTTTATGTATGCATATTGTGATGTGTGTATTTTAGTCTTTTGATTATTAAAAATAAACACAATAAAATTTATGTTTTTCTAGATTAAATAAGAAAATGACGAGTATATTTGCTAGACAATTATGGACAAATTTCGGATCAACATCTTTTCTTCGTCCTACAATACAATTTCAACCATCAGTACGTACAAAAATGGCTCGACGTCTTAATCGACATCGAGTACCAACACATGCTAAACCAACTGATTCATGGGCACAGAAAAAAGCAGTGTATGAATTGAAAATAATATTTAATTTTCGTACAAATATTTTTCTATATTTTATTTTCTAGTGCTCGAATTGTAGAACCTGAGCTTGCTTATGATGATGAATTTGCTAAAAGAAAACCAATTGATAAAGTATGGTTAACTAAAGAATATCCAATTCGATCATGGCCACTTGAAACAGTTTTACAATGGCATCGAGAAATGATGCAACCAAAAATGCTTAATTCATTAGATTCATTTGTTTGGGCACGACTTAAACTAGATATGACTACAGCTAAAAAGGTTTTTATGTTTCATAATTTGTTTGACTTTTCTAAAAAAAAGTCATTCAAATCATTCTTTTTTAATTTTTACCTTTTTACATTTTATTTAGACAAAATTTATTGAAACTATCAAAGGTTTAGTAACATTTCCTCATTATTTCGAAGATCGACCACGTAAAAATGTTGTTCTCTTTTGTCGAGTAAGAATATTTGATACAAATTCTTCTCTTATAATTTTCATCTTCTAGCTTCCTGAACATATGAAAGCAGCTGGTAAGAATTTTCTCTATATTCTCTTCAACTATATTCTTTATTTATATAGAAAAACATGGTGCTTATATGTTTGGCTATACTGAAGTAATCAAACAAGTATGATTTAACATCTATATATATTTTTCTATTAATAAAGAAACTATTCTATTCATAGTTTGAACGTGGTGATATGACTGATACTAATTATGAATATGTATTATGTGCTCCTGATGTTTATGCTGATATTTTACATTTAAGAAAAAAAATTTCAAAAGATAAATTTCCTAATCCACAATATGGTTAATAATTAAATTAAATATTATAATATAAGAACAATCATCATTATGATTATTCTTTTAGGTAGTCTTCATCCGAATGTTGATCAAATGTTAGAAAAATTTATTCGTGGTAAAGAATATCAATCAGCTAAATATGAAGAAGCTCGTGGAATTGTTGATCTTCGATTTGGCATTGTATGTTAAAATTATTTTATTTTGTATTTTTTTTTATTTTCATAAAATTAAATTTAGATAAATATGTCAGATGAACAATTAGCAGAAAATTTTCAAGCACTTGTGGAGCAATTAAGTACACATTCACAAACAAAAGTTGGTCCATTTGTAACTGGATGTTCAGTTTATTGTCCACCATCAACAGAAGAATTTCGAGTTGATGTTACACCATTTCTTCCTAGTGAAGAAGATGTACTTGAAAAGAAAGAATTAGATAAACAAGTTATGGATGATTTAATTAAGAAATCAGCACCGGAAATCGGAGATGATTTACTTAAAACATTACCATCAATTAAATAAATATTTTAGGAAAATAACGAGAATCTTTCATTTGTTAAAGTTGTAGTTTGCGTTTGTTTTTTCTCATTGAAACTATATTTCTAGATGTAAATTAAAATATACCGATCATTTATTGATCGTCTTCAATAAGTATTTATAACAATCATGAAAGATAAAATATACTATCGCGAGATATATAGAAGATACACTCGATGACGTACATCATTTTCTGTACGCACTGACCTTCTTCGTATTCTTCTGTATTTTTATTTTCGCACATTTCTTTTACACTTGTTATACTACAAAGCACGATAAATATATTCAATGCATAAAGTTATTGCTGCTGCTATTGATTCAAATATTCTATCAGCATCGGAATCATTTATTGATCAATGTTGTACACAAAATGTTGGATATGCTCAAACTTATGATGAAAAAATTTATGATGTTCGAGCACCACCTTCTAAACATTTAGCTATTGTATGTTGTATGGATGCACGTTTAGATGTTTTTCGTATGCTTGGATTAAATCCTGGTGAAGCACATGTCATTCGAAATGGTAAATTAATTCGGAATTGTTTCTTACTAATTGCTTTCTTTTTTTTAAGGTGGTGGTCGTATTCGTGATGCCGTACGTTCACTTGTTTGTAGTCAAACATTATTACAAACCAAGGAAGTTATGATTATTCATCATACTGATTGTGGTTTTACTTATTTTTCAAATAATGATCAAGTTATGACTGCACTTAAAGTATAGTTTTTATTTATATTTTTTTTATATTGTTATGTTAACTATTGATATTTTAAGTTACAACCAGGAACTGAAGTCGGTAATTTACCTATTTTTCAAACAATACCTGGTCAAGTATCGGCAACAACTACACCCGATTTTATGCCAATTGCTGATTTAGAACAATCAATTCGTGATGATCTTGCTGAATATAAACAATATCCAATGCTTAATCAAAATGTTACTGTACGAGGATTTTTATATGATACAAAAACAGGTCTACTCAAGGAAGTTAAATAAATAACAATGACATTTTATTAGTCAAGCTTTATTAGATATTAATTTTTTTATCTCGTAAAGAAAACATAAAATATGAAAACTATAGCATCTATTTTAGAGTATACTAATTATCTATCATTATAATATTTTGTCAACAATATTTATTCGTAAAAACAAAGTTCTATTCAATCGACTAACATACCAAAGATATCATGTATTATGAATTTCTTGAATCTAATTAATATCATTTGTACAACAAAGAAATAATCGAAAAAAATATTTTCGTCCAGTTGAATACATTTTCTTAATATTTCTTAATTTCATTGGATGTTTATCTTTGGTTGTTGTTTCATTAAATATACTGGCTAATGAATAAAATTGTGAACAACGTTGTAATTCATGATTATGTCGTTGAATAAGTAAATCACCAATATCAGATCCTAAGAATTTTTGATTATTTTTGCTTAATTTTGCTGTTACCTTATTTTCTGGATTACCAATAGCAAATGCAATAATATCCGATTTCGTTTCTGGTGTATAATATAAATGTGTTGCAGATGATATTGATGATATACTTGATACGAATGTAAATTTGTGCTTCATCTATCAAAGTTGTGATAATTGTTATTTGTATATATTAAATAAATGTTCGATAAACTTTAAACGAGATACATTGTGTAGTAATGATATAAACATGAAGATAAGAAAGAAAAAGATAATTTTTTAGTTAAATAAATGAAGAAAAAAAGTATGTATCTGCAAAAAATATGGTATGGTATGTATATTTCAAAAAGAGGAGGCTGGTATTATAGATTACATTATACATATTTCAACGAATTTTCATCATATGGCGAGATAAGTATTTAGTGTTATAAAATTTCAATATAGACTAATGACCTAAATCTATATTTTTTAATTTTCATCTGTTAAATATATTTCGAACATAAGTAAACTTATATTGTAATAATTAACGACTGATTAATGGTGACAAAAAATATGTATTGATTCAAAAATATTATAGAATGTGACCATAAACAAACTATTGCTTTAAATATGTTGACTTAATAATATATTTTCGGTCAAATAGAAGAAATTATTGAAAAATAGTAACAAGTGAATTATGTTTGATAATTTAAACTACTAACTAGCAATAAGGTCAAATATACTCTGTTATTACTTAGAAATGATTATAAGTTTTGTTTGCTATATTTAACAAATAACAGACAATATACATTGACTGATATATCCGACTATATAGAAAAGAAAAACATTTGCTATTAATATACTAGTGATTAGAGTTATGCATTTTTTTTCTTGTTTTTACTATCATGAATTTTAAAAAATATAGCTTTCAGTCTTATATTCAATGATTAATTAAAGTTTTCTATATTTATCTATATTTCCGATTTAAATCATAGACTTTTCAATAGCAGACAAACATGTCATTCTTGTTTTGAATAGAAAGTCTTTCAATATTGGATTTGTTTCTTTGCTTATGAATCAATATAAATGTCAAAGTATGGGTGTGAATATATGTTTTTGCGCCCACAATTACAATCAAGTCATTTTATTTTTGTTTTGTTAATCAATAGATATTAGTTATTCTAGAGTGTTTAACTACTATTGTTTAAGAATAGTAGTTTGAATTATCTAGCTCTATCAGATTAATAAATAAGATCGATTAAACAAATATTATAAATGACAAGATTTAATAGTAGAAAATGTAATGGGACAGGTCAATGATGTCTATTCAAATAAATGCAAAAACCTTGATTTGTTCTTACGATTACTTGTAATTTAGCCTAACTGTCATTATTTAAAATCATTGATGAATACATCGTCACTGATTTGATCCTCTGATTTTGAAGTGATATTTTAAAAACAATCATATAATCATCATGAGAAAGAATGATAGTATTAATAGATAATAAATTTTGAGTCATTATTGAAACGATCCTATGAACTTGATTTTAATTTAACCAAATCATTATAGTTTCACTTGCTTCATCTAGTCAACGTTCAAAGACTTTTTTGTTAGAAAAGTATTATAGTGATGAAATGGCATCGTTGATTGAAATAAAAACAAATTTTTATGATCTAATGACTTTATAAATATTGTACTTTTTTTTGTGTTATCATTTGATGACATTTATAAGCTTACAGGGAGAATAGTACTAGATGTAATCCTCTTCGAAAGGTCTCTCAGTTTTGCTTTGTCCTGTACTTTAATTTGAATAAGAAAAACAATATTCGAAATGTTATTGTTATTGTTGGTTCAATTTTCTATTTTATTACTGTCTACAATTTCGATTCCAATTGAACAAGCCGAGACAATTTTACAAAATAATGATGAGAACAAGTAATTACTTTTAATAATCACAAAGATTTTTTATTACTTTTTAAAGAATTCTTGCGCACTGAATAGAACAAAAAACTTATAAGATGAATATTTTATTAAAATATTTTTTATCGATAGATTGACTGCTAAACAATCTCAATATATTGAACCATCGACAAATATTCAATATGTTTATATGAGTGATTATGAGAATTATCGTCTTTATAAATTAATACCCAGATCTAGTTCAACAGTAACTCAAACAGCAATAGCTAATAAATGGCTTGATCAATATTTAAAATTGTCATTTGAAACACCTGATCGATCATATCCTTATGTTGTTCAATATTGTGGTTCAAATATGTTGGCATTTTTTCTTCGAAATACTACTGTTTCTATACAGAATATTAATGCTCTTCTTATGTCTCGTTTAGAAGCATATGACAACTCGCAATATGTCTGCTATTTAAGTGTTTTAAAGGAACATCGTCAACATGGTCTTGGAACAAAATTATTGAATGTATTCATTAATGAAGCTATTCGTACAAATAATGCACGAGTTTCATTACATGTAAATACAGAGAATAAGAGTGCTTTATCACTATATTTAAAATGTGGTATGCGTTGTACCGATTATATTTCTGGTTATTATTTTGGTGATCGAACATATCCAACACAAAATGCTTTTACAATGACTTTACAATTAAAAAATGTTCAAAACTCAACAGCAGTTTGTCAATCCACAACTGCTGTTAATATTCCTCAACAAGAAGACGCTGTTTACAAGCAAAGATGCCCACAGGCATTGGCTGGATGATTTGAAATATTTTTGTAACACTTCTTTTTTTTCTAATAAAAGATTGTTGAAGTCTAAAACCACATGTAAACTGTTGATTGATCGAATCGATATGTATAATCAAATTTGTGAGATGATCGATTTTCATCCAGAGTTGATTGAAGTTTTCTAACATATTCATTTGTGTATCCTTTTTTTGCAGACCAGGGTATGCAATAAAATGATGCAGTTAATAATTTTTTGAATTGAGTGATGAAATTAAATATTTGTACTATTGAACACATATAAGCTATATCTAGATTTTGAACATTAGGAAAGACAGAATTTAATTGTTCAATATTATAATTATCATCATCGTCATACGGAAGATTAACACCAATTTCTAAATAACGTATCTTTTTCAATGAATTCAATTGAACTATATCAAGAAATTCTTTCACTTTATTCCTAAGAGTAATTCGATAAAGATTTTGCATTTCATTTATGACAGATATAATTCCATGATATTCTGTTGTTATACATAAACATAAATGTTGTATTCGATTTAAATCTACAATCTGTACAATAGATGACAAAGGAATAAAATGATACATAGTTAACGTATGAACTTGATTGAAATAATGATTCGTATTAATAGAAGGTTCTGAAAGTGTCAAATGAGTAATGCATGTATTAAAAATTGTATTGTCAGGCAATGTAGATAGAATAGGCACATCAAATTGTTCATTAGTGAATGTTGTAGCATAGAAAGGCACTGAAAATAAACAATTATATGCGTAGGCAACGTACCAATGCTTCTCATCTAACCAATATGAACTGCGAAATGAATCAAGATCTTGTAAATCTGAATCGTCTATTATAGAAAACATGATATTAAATGTAATTAGATGTTTTGTCACCAATTGCAATCGTTTTCCATCGAGTAAATCACCATATCCATGTGTACGTAATTGTAAATATTTAAGACAAGGAAGATTTGTTATTATTTGTTCGATATTACTCATTGAAAGATTTGCACCTAATAATTAAAAGATATATATTGATAATGATCTAGTATTTCATAATATTCTCACCTTCAATGTGCAATGTGAGTCGATTCATTTGATTAAATGGTAAAATAAAATCTGAATTCGATTCATTCAATATAAGTACAGTTGTTAATGATTTAAGATTTGATGCAGCATGACAAATATTTATCATTGTATCAATTGTACATGATCTTAATATTAAATGTAGAAGACAGGGAAATTGAATTGAGTTTAAAAAATATCCATGAGTGAATCTCAGCCATTTCAGTTGAGGAAATATTGAACTATAGTAATTAAATAAATGTAAATCAAGTTGAGTAATACTATTGTAGGATATCTTGGAAATCCATGTATCTGTTTTACTCATCGAATAACAGAAAAATGAACGTAAGTTTTTAAGATCATTTAATTTTGTAACGATAGATTCCCAGTAATTTGGTCCAATATCAATCAATGTCAATGAACAAAGACGAGTAAATTGATTTAATTGAAAACGAGATAGAAAAAGTTCAACTTGACCTGGTGTATTTTCATTATCGCATAATGTTAATGAAATCACATGACTCGGTGTAATCCGTTGACAGACAAGATCAAATTCCTTTTTTGTAATCGATTTAAAATTTAAACGATAATTTGAATACTCGAGTAATACATTATCAATATAAGAACTAATATTAGTAAATGTATGAAAAATTTCATGAGCAGAAAAGTAATTCAATAATTGATAAATAAGCTCAACTGGAAAGATATCGATTAAACTATGAGACATAAATAACAATATTTTTTATACCAAAATGCACTACTACTTCTATGTATTCACTATGAAATATGTCAAAAACAACAATCATAAATAATGCATGCAGTAGGTAGAAAGAAAAGAATAATAAAAACTGTATGCTTATTGGTGGATTTCTTTTACAATAGTCGTTGATTTATAGAGTAAGTCAAAAAAAGACATCAATTTAAAACAATGTCACATAAGTTCTAAATGTTTTCTAAGAAAACTTATATATTTCAACAAGTTTTGTTTGTACAACTAAAAGAATACATTAGTAGAAAAAAAAGACAAGTCCAAGAAGTAAAACTATAAGTGAAAATGAATGATGAATACTTGTAGGTACTGAATTACAGAGATGATTTCGACAACAATATCGAGCAGTGCCTGAATAAATTCCTGGAATAGTCATAGTTTGATCATTATAACTATCTTGTCGACAATCAGCTGAAGCACCACGTGAAACAATCTGTTGATTTCCTGGACCTGATCGCCATACAACTTTCTAATCAATAAAAAAACTACAAGATGAAAATTTGAATTATATATATATTTACTCACATAACACCAGTCTTCTGAACGTGCAGCAAGACGAACACCTCGTTGAGTATTTAAACAATTTGAACAATAATAACAATCAAAAGCATCAGTAATACCAGTACATGAAATGATTACAGCTAGAACTTTAATTATGATAAGACGAAAGGAAATGATTTTTATGTATTAAATTTATACTTACACAAAAATGTAAATGTACATTTAGGTTTATACATAATTTTTTTGTGTGTAAAAGTTATAAGTAAATTGTTGATCTTTATTCGTAGTTTATTGATCAAAGTAAAAGGGCAATGTTATGTGTATCGCAGATTCTTGAATTGAAATAATGGGTGATATAGTCATATAATAAATAGCACTTGTATGACGCTGACGTCATCATGATAAGAATCGTTCAATTCAAGCAAAGCCTTACAAATAGCATCATAGATTTTTTTTTCGTCTCTCCTTTTTCTTATTCGTTGAATATCAACGTGAAGCACTTTACTTTATTCATATGATATATATATTATTTCAATTAAACTGATGCTCAATTCAAATGCAAGAGACATAATTGTTTATTTTTGAATGAATTTGTTATCAAGTATATAAGTTAATATAGACATTTATAAATTGTAGTATAAAGTAGAGAAGAGCAGAAGCTAAAACAGATAGTTAAAGTAAATGATTCTATTCATGTCAATAAACATTTAATACTAGATTGAATATATTAATTTTACAGATAGTTCTAATACATACAAAAATCGTCCTACTATTCGTACTAATACTCTACATACGTTTGTGATATCATAATAAATATTTCAAAGTAAATTAATCTCACAAATGATATAATTTATATATTCAAAAAAAAACTACAGATATCATAATTAAAGTTTGTCTAATCATTAAAAATTAATCTAGAAATTTTTACATAACCATTCCAAATATCATATTGCAGTTGTTCTCAAGTAACTATGCTCCATATAATAAAAGAAACAGTTGTATCCTATACATATCAATATTTCAAACTTCTTCATATAATTAAAGTAAACCATTAAATATTAATATAAACAATCTTTTGTACTATCTTATAGGGGTAGGACAGTTCATAGTTCCAAGTTCGGATGAACTGGTCAAAAGAACTACCAGTTCAGTTCTTCTGATAGGAACTGAACTGAACCAACAGTTCTTTGAATAGAAGTGAACTGTACTAACAGTTTTTTGAAAGGAACTGAACTGTATTAACAGTTCTTTGAATAGAACTAAACGTTACCAAACAGTTCTTTGAAAGGAACTGAACTGTATCAACAGTTCTTCCAGAGGAACTGGTCGGTTTCAACAGTTCTTTTAAAAGAACTGTTTTGTTTCAAATTTGTTTTTATTTCCAAAAAAATAGTTATCACAACAGTTCTTTGAAAGGAACTGAACTTGTCGGTACAGTTCAGTTCTATTCAAAGAACTGTTAGTACAGTTCGGTTCTATTCAAAGAACTGTTAGTTCAGTTCAGTTCTATTCAAAGAACTGTTGGTTCAGTTCAGTTCTATTCAAAAGAACTGTTAATACAGTTCCTAAGAACGGAACTAATATGGAACTGTCCTACCCCTACTATCTTATGAAAATTAAATCAAGTTTTACATTCACAATAAAATAACAATATTTTAATATTAAAAATGATTTATTTTACCAGAAAAAATACATATACAAAATATTTCACAAACTAATAAAGTAATATTATATAGTCTATTATATTAAACAAAGAATTAACAAGTTGCATCCTTTGGTATATCACAATTTTTATTTCGATCATTCCGCATCAAACCACGATTACAACTTTTGTAATAAATTTAACTAGAATCGTCACATTGAATAAATTCACTACGATCCTGAGAATTTTCATAGATACATTTCATGGAATTTTTACATCCTCTTTCAATATCTTTATCTGGACATATAAAAATAGCGTAAGCAGCAGTATAATCAAGCATATTAAAGTAAATAAGAAGAAGACTATTAAATAAGTATAGGTTAATTAATTACCTAAACAAGATGAGAACACTAATCATCATGGTTACACAAGCAAATCGATTCATTACTATATTCTCTTTGTTGATTAAAGCGAAATAAATAATATTTATTGAATTTGCTTTACATTATATAGAGCTAGATATTCATTGTTTATAACCAGCGTCAATTTATAAATAGAAGATGACTAAACTTTGTTTTATTCTTTTGTTTTTATTGGTAATTTTATAAGCGAAATATCTGTCTTTGTTAGTGTTTCATCCACTAAGAATCAAGTTTCTATCTTACTAACTAGTCCAAGAAGATAAAAGGCATCATAAAGATGTCTTATGGATGACTATGTAATATTCTCTTTCTCGTAGAGAAGAGTCTTGCAAACATAAATTGTTTGGTTGTAAGTCCGCAACGTCAAAAAATGTCGAAAACTGATCTTCTGGAGAAGACATTTGTAGAAGTATTTCGATGCGGAAACTTCGAATCTCAGCTGTGGTAGGAGATGATGGCGAGGGGCAAAGATCATAGAAACATCGAAGGCCAATTTTTCACAGTTTTCAATTATTTTTCTAGTGAATGTGAAGAGGATACATTTTTACGAGAAAGAGGGTGTGCGATCTGAAGAAGAACTCAGGTATCATAACATTAAACTTTTCACATTTTAAATGAACTCAACTCTAATATTTCTTTACAATTTTTTTTGAACAAAAAGTTATCTCTTCTTCGTGGATTCTGATCAAAACTCATACCATTGAGATTCTCTATGATATTCGACATACATCTATGCTCATCATAAAAATATTTGATTTTCTTGTTTGTCTTCTGTAGGCTTTTTCTCTTGGTATTAAATACGCATCAGTTAAACGAAGAAGAGCATGTTGCATTTTTCATCGATGGATTAAAATTAACGATACGTATACGAATATCTGCAGATGCTGGACGCATACATGGAGATGGAAAACTTCAAAAGATCAAATAAACTAAACGATAAATTTTCACCTCTCCAATTGATCGTACCGTGCGTTAAAAGATGAATAAAAATGTGTAAAATACACATAATAATAATGAATATTGGACGATGATGCTTTTGATTTGCTATATCATCAATATTCACAAGACGTCGAAACCATGAGCAGATCTTCTATTTCTCAGTAGAAACTAGTTCCTCAACTCGTATCACTAATTGTTCACAATTTAAAAGAATTTAAATAAAACTACGACGCATATAGTTGATAGAATAATTGATTTATACAAGATGCTAATGATATAAATTAAATATGACGAACCATATTATTAAATAAATATCATCAATAATTAATAAGTTTAATTTTACGTATTGGCTTACTAGATTTATCTTTATCTATTATAGACTGCCCGCCCTCTATCATCCTTTCATTTTCATTTGTTACTTCTTTGATCAAATGTAATAGAGAAATAATAGTAGTGTTATTTTTAATGAAAGAAAATAGCCACGCTTGAAAAAACAGGAGTAGTATTGTTTGAAATTATATAACTCAAATAAAATAAAAATGTCCGATATATCTACATCACCACGTTTGTGGAAAGCTGTTGTACCGATCTGTTTCATTTGTTTGCTGTATTTATGTTCACTTTTTCTATTTTTTTGTGCAACAAATTCTTTAATTTATTCAACAGTTTGTCTTCTTCGAGCTAATGCATCATTTTGTGCTCAAATTGATCAAAATAAATCACTTATTGTATTAGAAGAATCAATTCAAAAAGAAAGTGCTCAATGGAATCTCTATGGAACATTATCATTTTCAATCATTGCTTGTTTTATGTCGCCGATTTTTGGAAGTTTATCTGATACAAAAAATCGAAAACTACCTATTGTATTAACAATAAGTAATGCTATATTAACAGGTTTAATTATTACCATTGCAAGTATTTATCAAGGTACACAATTATGTTTAATATTATATTTAGTAGCAAATGTTGTCAATGGTTTTGGTGGTGGTGCATTGATACTTATTTCGTAAGTTAGAATAATGAAGAGAACCTATGTCATTTTCAATATATATATATATATAGGTCATGTTTTGGTTATGCTACTGATTCATGTAAAGAAAAAGGACAACATGTTCAAACTATTGCTTTAATTGAAGCATCTTTAAATATTGGTGTTGTTATTGGATATCTTCTTTGTGCATTCATTTTTGAATTGCATAGTCGAATATGGCATATTTTACTTGTTAATGTTATTCTCTTAGGTGTTGCACTTTTTATAAGTCTAGTTTTTCTCAAGACTCCTTCAATAACAGAATTATCAACAATAACTACACGCCAAAAAATAATTCGACCAATTATTGATACACGTGATTTAATTGTTGATTTAAAGAATAATCATTTACTTGTATCATTTCTCATACTTTTACTCTCACTTTTCTTCTACGACATGTATCGTATGGGCTCTGGATCTATTCTTTATTTATTTTTACATCGAATGTCATTTGATGATGTACATTATGCAGCATATTTTACATTTGAACAGTTAGCTACTTGTTTAGCATTACTAATCTTAGCATTATTAAAAGGACGATGGAAAATTAATGATCTATATTTAGCTAGTATTGGTTTAATCTTGTCTTTAGTTGGACCAATGTTATTTGCTTTTGCAGAAAATAATAAAACAATGATCTTTGGAGGTAAAAACAAAAAAATAAATAAATAAAAATCAATATTTATATTTTTAGCTATACCATCATCAATGTTTAGTGTCTATTTTGCTGTATGTTTAAGATCGATAGTTGCAAATTTAGTACCTCAAAAAGATAAAGGTAAACAATAGTTATTATGTGAAATCTTTATATTTTCCAATAACAATTATTAATTTAGGCAAAGCATTTAGTTTCATTGCTTTGATACAAAATCTTGATGTTGTAGTAGGTACAATTGCTTGTGTAGAGATTTATGAAGCATCAATTGATTTTTTTCCTGGTCTTGTATTTATTTTTGCTGCTGCTACAAGAGTTATGGCACTAATTCTCATTTTGTAATATTTCAGTTTTTATACTAAATACTTTCACGTTAATTCTTATCTCTATTTTTTAGAATACAAGCATGTTGCGTTAGCCATACACCACAATTATCACTAACAGTACCAGTTGATGAAGTCGAAGATCCACTCATAAATACTGAATCTAATGAAAATGATGATGATGATGATACACTAATTCATTCTTAATTATATTATTTTTCTAATGATCTAAATTCCAAAGAAAATGATCTTTCAAACATTCCTTTATTTTTTTAATTTACAAATAATTTATATTTGTAGATAACATGTTATTAATCTTAATCAAACTTTCATATCTATTTATTTTATTTTATTCTTCTATCAATGCCTTACCAGTTATTAATCGAGTAAGTCTTTTCTTTTTTCCATCTCAATTCAACTATTTTTATAATATATTCGTCTTATTTAGGAAAATATTATACACAATAGTATTGGAAATTCGAAAAAAAATTTAACAGTTCCACTATTTAATAAACAGGAATTGGCAGCAGCAGCAGAACCTGTTCCTTTAATGATACCAAAGCTCAAAATACCAAAACATTTTAATCTAAAAAAAATTGCAAAAAATCTAAAAGATTTTGGTATTCATAGTTTAAAAGAAGATCAACATCTTGAAGGCTTACCATTAGATCGTCGTGGAAAAGTTAATCCTGAATTTCATAAAGAAATTTTTTTGGGTAATCATGAAGCATTCGAATCAGAGATTGATCATGATGAAGGAAGACGAGATAAAAAATTGGAAGAAATATTCAATGAGTAAATAAAGAAAGAAAAAAACTTTATATTAATATTTTATAATTCATATAGGGCAGATCTAGATCGTGATGAACGTGTAACGAAAGATGAACTGGTTAATTATCTATTTAAAAATGTTCAACTGCATTTAAAAGAAGCAAAAAATAGAAATACACAATTATTTCTTTTGATCGATGCGAATGAAGATGGTAAGATTTTATATTAAAAATATCATAGATGTGTAAATCAATCTCAATTTTTTTTCCTTCAAGGTAAAATAACATGGCATGAATATGCTGCATTGTATATTAGATTTCATCATATGAATGTGTCCGACGTCAGAGATTTGGATGAAATTGATTTTGCTCAAGATTCACACGATAGTGCTTGTAAGTATATCCATTATTTTATGAAAGATTAAATATTTGTCTATTGTTTTCTCAGTACAACGTGAATTACTTAAAATTCGGTATCGTTGGACAGAAGCTGATACTGATGGCGATAATGAAATTAATGTCGATGAATTTCTTACATTTCGTCATCCAGAAATAGCTGGTCGTTCATATAAAAATGTTGTTAACGATATTATTCTACAAATGGGTTTGTTTATTCTTTTATAAAATTTGTCTGTTTTTTCAATAATTTTTTTATACTTATAGATCGTGATAATGATCAGAAATTAAATATAACTGAATTTGCATTTTTACCTTGTATGTTTTAAAAATGAATAATTTTATAATATTACTTTTTCTTTAGCTTATGGATTAGAAGATAAGGATAATAAAGAATGGGAAGAAATGGATAAACGATGGTTAGAAGAACAAAAACAAGAATTCCGAGAATTTGATCAAAATAATGATGGAATTTTAACAAAAGAGGAATTATTAGTAAGATAATGAATTTAGTTTTAATTTCTTTTATTTCTTAATTTTATTATAGCATGCATATGATCCAATGAATCGTATACATATCGATCGTCAAATTAAAAAATTATTCTCAAAAGTTGATGATTCACCAGCAGATGGTTCTTTATCATTAAATGAAATTCAAAAGCATGCAGACATTTTTACTGATTTACGCATTTTAGATACTGAAAGAGTGTTACATGAAGAAATGTAACAAAAACAAAATTCTGTCCTATACTGTTTCAACGAATTAGTATATTTTTTTTCATCTAGTTTTGTTTGTACTATCTAATCTTGTTATTTAAGTGTAATTAAATAAATTTAATGCTATCAGAATATATTGAAAATTTATTTTCAAACTAACGCTTAATTATTCATTGATTTTTAAGAGAAATCGCATTTGTTAGTTCTCTTTCAATTTCTAAAGATATATGTTAGACTCTGATTGTTAATATTTAAGTGAATCATTTAAGAAAAATATTTCGATTACTTCTTATTTCTTAGTTTTCTCCTGGATTCTATTGAAATAATGAAACTTTTTATGAATGATTACTAACTAAATCGATAACATGGGTTTACTTTTTTAAAAGAAATATTAGTGAAGCTAATATATCTCATTAATACTCGAAATTACGCGAAATTATTTTGAAAAAAGAAAATAAATATATACAATTCAAAATGATCTCTCAATTTTGTCAATGTTTAAATATTGTTATATAGCGACGTCTATAACAGGTTATGAGCTAAGTATTGTCTGTATTTAGTCAGACCAGGCCGTCAACATTATAATGACTGTTGATGATGAAATACGACAGGAAATGATCATAAGTTATGAAACTATTTATACTTGACAGACACGATATCGTTCATAGTAGCCGTGTCACAACGCTAGTCATTCGTTATACTTACGATGGCCATAAACTTCGTCAAGCATCATTGATTATTACTGCAGAACAGCTAGCATAACGAACTGTTTCTTTTATTATTGTGATTGATTGATATACAATCGAGTATGATTAATCTGAACTGAATTGGCACTATTTGATAACACAGGTAACATAATGACCGATAATATCAACGTTTAGTTAAAAAATTTCAAACTTGAAGCTTATTCTATTCTACTCTATCGACATACTTAGTCAAAAAATTATACAAGACTTGGGTCATTTAATAAAATATAAAAAAATTTCTTCAATTTAATATTTTGTGCTGATCAAATATCACACTTATCATTTAGATTACCACCCAAAATAGTAGAAGAGTCGATATCAAATACTTGCTACGATATAAAGTTCAATGAAAATGATTTTTTAAACATTTATCTATATTTGTAGATATGTTATTAATCTTAATCAAATTTTCATATCTATTTATTTTATTGTATTCTCCTGTCAATGCCTTACCAATTATTAATCGTGTAAGTCTCTTCTTTTCCATCTTAATTCATCTATTTTATAATATATTGTTCTTATTCAGGAAACTATTACATATAATAGTACGGTAAATGCGACACTTCCATTAATGATACAAAAATTTAAAATGCCAAAAAACTTTAATATAAGTAAAATTACAAAAGATCTCAAAGATTTTGGTATTCATAGTTTAAAAGAAGATCAACATTTTGAAGGTTTACCATTAGACCGTCGTGGGAAAGCTAATCCTGAATTTCATAAAGAAATCTTTCTGGGTGATCATGAAGTATTTGAATCAGATATTCATCAAAATGAACGTAGACGAGATAAAAAACTGGAAGAAATATTCAATGAGTAAATAAAAAAAAAAGAAAAAAATTCTGTGTCATTATTTTACAATTCATATAGAGTAGATGTAGATCATGATGAACGTTTAACAAAAGATGAACTTGTTAATTATCTATTTAAAAATATTCAACAACATTTACAAAAAGCCAAACATAAAAATTCACAATTATTCATATTGATAGATGCAGATCAAAATGGTAAAATAACATGGCAAGAATATGTTTTATTGTATGTAAAATTTCACAATAAAAATATATCTGATATAAGAGATGTAAATGATGTTGAATTTATTCCAAGTTCACTTGATCTTGAATGTAAGTATATGAATATTTTAATCAACAAAAATAATAAATAATATTATTAGCTCATCAAGAACTTCTTAAAATTCGATATCGATGGATGCAAGCTGATCAGAGTAGTGATAATGAACTTAATATCGATGAATTTCTTGCTTTTCGTCATCCAGAAATAACTGATCGATCAGCAAAATATATTGCTGATGATCTTCTTCTACATATGGGTTTGTTTTTTCTTTTTTTTTGAAAGTTTCTCTACAATTTATTCTAGATCAAAATAATGATCAAAAAATAAATGAAACTGAATTTGTATATATTCCTTGTATGTAAAAAATCGAATTATTCTTTGTCTATGTTCATTCTTTGTAGCAAATATATCCACAGATAAAAATGATACAACTTGGTCAGAAATGGATAAAAAATTTGTCGATGCACAAAAAACAGAATTTCATGAATTTGATGAAAATAACGATGGAATTTTAACAAGAGATGAAATTACAGTATATATATATATATAAATTATTTTCTTTTTCTTTTTAATCTATTGTAGAAAGCATATGACCCAATAAATCGTGTACATATCAATATTCAAGTTAAAAGATTATTTTCAAAGGTTGATGATTCACCCGCAGATGGTTCTTTATCATTAAAAGAAATTCAAAAACATGCTGATATTTTTACTGATTTAAGTCTTTTGAATCCTGATAGAGTATTACATGAAGAAATGTAATTCTAACAAACAAAATATTTATTTATCTTGTTTTTCTCTTCTTATATGTATAAATAAAATTATTTAAAAAACTGTTTGTGGTCGAGTTTTGAGATAATCGGAAATATTTGGTTGTTGTTCAATTTCTTGACGATTATGTGTTAACCATGGATAATTCATTAGAATATTTTTATCAACTTGAAGAAAATTTTCTGCAATATCATAAAAATATAAATCAGCCCATGTTAAATGATTACCAACAAAAAATGGACCACCATTACCATATAATTTACCTAAGAGTTCAAGATTTTGTAAATTTTTAGGTAAATCTTCGGCAAAGAATTTTTTCATATCTTCTTGTTTTTTGCTTTCATTTTTTTCCCAACGAATTGGTGTAAATTTTGATGAAGCATCATAAATTGTATCAACAACGGAATCGACTTTCGCTTGTTCAAAATTATCTCGACCAGCTAATCGAAATTGTCTAGCAAGAAAACGAGCTATGGGTAATGATTGTGGTAATTTCATACCATTAAATTCAAGAACTGGCATTTGACCTAATGGCATTTGAGATTTTTTTGATGACCATTCTTTTGGATCATAACGAATATCCTCAAATTTTTGACCAGCAGCAACCATAATTAAACGTGATACTTCAGCTCGACCACGACCATTAAAATAATGAAGTCTATATAATGACATTGAAGTTTGTTTTTGATTATCAAAGAATGAAAATAGTGTATATAAGTGATTAGATATATAGTAGACTATTTTCTTTGTCGCTTTACACACACCGACTAGTTAGACAAAGATGTACAGAATAAAAAGAGAAATACCATGCATGTTTGTTTACAAGAAAACACACTCGATAATAACAAAGAGATGTCTATTAAAAATAAATTCTTCATAAGAGAAAACGAACAATGTGTTTTAACAAAATTTAAAGTTATCTCTCTCAGACAAAGTTTCACATGGCTTCTTTATTGAAAGAATAAATTTCTTTTTGTTGAATAATTTATCTTATAGAATAAAATAAATCACGATTACGTCTACGATAATCTATTGACTCGAATCGATTTTATACAAATATATTGAATGCTCGATAACTTAATGTATATACATAAGTAATGTAGTATATATATATATACATAACTATTGTTAAATAAGATAAATTACATCATTCGTTCTATGATAGTTGTTTTTTTGTATTTATATAAAAAGAAATTAATTGACTATTTTATCAAATTAAATTTCTTCTTTGTTTTGTTAATATTCATGGTTATTGTGCGTTTTATTTTTTTATTCATATATCTCTTTCATGCAAAACATCAATTTTAAATAAAATGATCCGATTTATTTAATTTATTCTTTCGCGACTCATTAACTATAATGAACGATAATAGCAAAACAATCAGATAGACGATCAGTTAATGAATGTCTAGATCTCCACCTCCATACTCGTTTTCGATATATATATAATAGTGAAATACATCTCATATAAATTACCAATGTCATCTTCATCTTCTCCGCCTCCTACTTTTTTTTTCTTCATCTAATAAGATCATCATAAATCAAATAAATATGAAAGATGAGTAGTATATACACTTGATATTCGTTCTATTTATCCTAAGCTTATATACTTATGATTTATTTATATTTACAAATCGACTAAACATTATTTTAAATATATTCGTATATTTTGATAATAGTTCGTTTAATTCACTTATTGAAAAGTGCTATAATTGAAAATTCAATTTTCACCTGTTGATGGTGAGAAAAAACGAAGTTCGTGTCTCTTCTAAATTGATAGACATTCTATGTCGATTTCATTTATTCTTATATAGAGAGACAGGTTAGAAAACGAATGAGCAATTGCATTTTACTTTCTTTTCTTTTTTTTTTCTTGTCGATCGGATAACTTATATATATATATATATATATGTCTGTGTGCATCTCTCGTCTTCGTATATTCACTATTTCATATATATATTATTAAGCTGTTCTCATATATTCATTCATTCTTCTCCTTCGTCTATCTACATCTATTCATCGATTTCTCATCAGTATAAACTAAAACGAAAGAAGAATTTTGTCATCCTCATTTTCGTCTTGTTGATAAAAAAAAAATAAAGAATATAAAATGTATATATATATGTTCGTTGAGTAGAGTAAGAGTCGTCCGGCGATATGGATGAACGCGACGGGGTCGAATATCCTGAACAACAATCTCAACATAGACAATCATTAGTGAAGAAGAATAAGAGTGAAATAAAACAAGAGAAAAAAATGTCAAAAACTGAAAGCCGTTTTAAATCTAAACTTGGTAAGTTTAATTAAATCATATTGTGAATTATAATAAATAATAAATTTGTTCATATTAAATAGAATCTTTAAAAAAACTTCAACATTCAGCATCAACAAATAGTGCTGTTGAAAAAGCACGAGCATTTTTTCGCTCGTTAGAACTTAAACATCTAGGTGGAAGTAGTAATCATGAACAATCATCATCATCAACATCATCTCGTCGACGTGTTCCTACTACTACTACAACAACAACTACTAATAACAATAATAATATTAATTTATCTTCATCTGGAAAATTTCCTCTTCCTTCTTCAATGTCTTCATCAAGTTCATCGTCAATTATTGACGATAGTCATAATACAATGTCAATAACGACGACAAATGATTCGTCGTTTAATACAAAAATTCCTGCTGATGGTATTGCAACAGCAAGACTTATCCGAGTTATTAATCCAAATTATTCAAATTCAAATGATATGATTATAAATCGAGTTCTAAATAATGAACAAAATGATCATCAGTTACCAGCATCACATTTAAATTTTCAACATATATTAATGGATAAAAATATTCAATTACCTAAACAATATTATAATGAACGAAGTCAAAGTTATTCTGTAGCAATGGAAAAACATCGAGAAATACAACAACCAAAATACGGTAAGATATAATCAATTTCTCGAAAAGAAAAGAAAAGAGACATTCATTATAATGAATGAAAAGCGTGACATGATAACATTTAATATTTCATCGATGAAAAGCTATAATTTTATTTTATCAATGGGTAAATTATCGATTAACTGATAAGCGTATCGAACGTCTTAGATTCATATAAATGATTGTCATTCTAATATTAATTAATACATCATAAGACATGAAAAAAATCAAGTGTCGTTTTTTTTTAATTTCAATAACCAAAAACAAAACTTTTTCAGAAATATTATGAGAATAAAAATTTGAAGCTCTTCAGTAAACATTTATTCTTAAAATTTTGTTTTTCTACTCTTATAGATTCCCGTGCACTTTCGCCTACAGCTGCTATAAATGCTAATATAATATATTCAAGTCATAATTATCCAAATACACCACCTTCAAATCATTCAAATGTAAACAATAGAAATATTGCAAATAACCAAATGTCAAGTTCATTATATAATTATCGACCATTAGTTTGTCGTCGTGGAGAATCTCCATCATTAATGTCATCATCATTTCATGAACAATCACCACGTGTAGTAGATTCTGTCATTCGACCAATACCTTCATCAGCATCATCATCATCAATGTCAACATGGACACAAAGTGTTCGTCGTCTTAATACAGAATATACATCAACAATAAATGCTCTTCAACAAGCTAAAGAATCTTTTCATGGTCCAACAGATAAAATTTCTAAATATGCTAATTTAGTTGCACGTGGAATTAATAATCTTTCAAATAATGAATCAAAAAAATCCTTAGGTGTAACATTTTGTTTAACAGCACCAATATCTCCAGATTCTCCTTCATTATCACATACATTAACAAATTCAGTTCAACAAAGCAAAACACTTCCATCAAATATGTTTTGTAAACCTAAAATAGTACGTCCATTAGATTTAAATACATTTATTCCATCAATACCGTCATTACCAAAATTAGAATCGATTTCATCTAATATTGAAAGAGATAATGAAATTGATTCAATTGCTAATATTATTAAAAAATTTAATAATCTTAATCCTACATCATCTTCATTAAAATCTTCGATGTATATGGATAATAATACTGATTTATTATTATCTCAGTTGAATAAGGAACAACAAGAAAGTTTACCACAAATATTTATGTTTGATTCAGTTCAAAATAAAAAGGATCAATCAAATATTTCTTCATTAACATCATTAACTGATATTAATCCTTCGTATTCAATTTCAACTCCTCGTGTTCATTTTGAACCATCAATAACAACTTATGAAATAGAAGATATTCCATATGAATCTCCACCATCATCTTTAACAACTTCCTCATCTTCTACCTCTTCATCATCATCATCACCATCATCGTCAGCTTCAGAAGATACAACTAGTAGTAGTTCATCAACATCAACTGATGAAAATCAAATTTATGAACATACTGAATCGGATAATATTATTCAAGAAGAAACAACATATACTATTGAAACATTTTATAAAAGTTCAAATAATCATAATAATCATATTAATAATATTAACAATAATAACAATATTATTAATAATAATAATACTAATAATAATAATAAAGTAAATTCATCACCAATTAATCAACAAGTTGTTGTTATTCGAGAAAATACAACGGAAGAACAATTTAATTTAGCACGAGAAAAACATCATCATGATAAAATATTAAATCATGAAAAACCAACATCACAACGTACATATACATTGAATGAAACCGAAGTTCCACCATTAACAACACCATTATTAACTTATCTAAATTCAACATCTAAACAAACAGCACCAACGTCATCCATTTCAGAAAAACAACAAAAGTAAATCTTTTCATATTCTTCTTTTCTTCTCTTCCGACACGTTCTCTTATATAATGACCACGTGAATATAGCGGACTATTTCTTTGCATACTTCAAGATGTTCTTTCATTTCTTGTTTTTTTCTTCATTCTAGTCATCATCATTCAATTGAACCATCAACACAAATCACAAACGATTTTACTTCGTATGATTATCATGATGAAGATGATGCGACAATTCATGATGTTATTGCAGTCAATCCTCATACACACTCACCACCATCTCATTGTTTAATTAGTAGTTCATCATCAACTAGTACAGCATCATCGGCTTCAACTGTTCTTCTTAGTAATAATAATATTAATATTCCTGTAGTAATTTCAGACGTTACGAAAAAAATAGCAGCTACAAATGGTAATCTAGTTAAAACTAATAATAAATCTATTTCACAACTGCCAAAACGTACAACCAACTTCACCACCGCTACGACAACAACAATAACAGAAGCGGCTACAGCAACAATAACAAACGCCCCTCGTTTAAAACAACCATCAAAAATCGTTTCACCGCCAAGTAAATTAAAACCGCCCTCGACAACAATTACAAAACCATTAAAATCGATGATTACTAATAGCACATCATCAGTCACAACAACGATGACCACACCATCTATACGAAAGCCATCAACAATAACGAATCAATCATCAGTAATAACGAACAATACTGTCAACAAAACTACTCAACAACAGGTGAGATTGTATATATATATATTTAACTACGAAAGAAGAGAGAGAGCACTTCAAAATCAATCACAGAACATACTATTTCATTCATTCATTTTTTTTTACATTTTTTTTTATTTCAATTTTAGTCGTCGTTATCAACATTAGCAATCGGAAAGAAACAGAATTTAGTAAACGGTACTAATATGACTGAATCACAAACTCCTACAGGTATTTCTAATCATTTTTATTTAAAATGATTCACCTTCAATTTTTTTTTCTCATAATCATTTTTACTAAGTCGAGAGAACGAAAAAAAATGCAGTTTATGATAAAAAAAAAACGAAATACATATGTGCGCGCGCACATACACATTTTCATTTAGAATGATAAATATGTATTCTGATTTCACTCAACTAGATTCTTCATGTTCGATTGGCAAAAATCGTGTACGATCGATGGTTAATCAACTTAATGCTGCAGTATCATCTACTCGTCCAGCTGCTCCATCGATCATATCTGTTAAACGTACAACACCAACTTGTCCATCAACAGTTAATTCTCGTCGACCAGGATCAACAGAATCAATAATAAACTCAACACCATCAACTACTAAAACTACAATAACATCACCGAATCGTCCAACACTTCAACGCGCAATGACAATTAATAATAATAGTTCAGGATCACCATCAACATCTTCAACAACAAATAATAATATTCCATCAGCTTATAAACGAAAGTAATTATTAGTAAGACAAAAAAAATTAGAAAATTTTTGTTTTTTTCTCTGTAGAACTCCACTTATTCGTTCAACATCTAATGTAAAAGAAGGTCTTCTTCGTTGGTGTCAAGTACAAGTTGCTGATTATCCTGTAAGTGATTATTTTTTACTAAAACAAAATATATTTTTTTTATTTTATTTTAAAATAAATTAGAATGTATCAGTAACAAATCTTTCATCATCATGGTCGGATGGCCTTGCATTTTGTGCTTTAACTCACCATTTTTTTCCTGATGCATTTGATTTCAATAGTTTATCATCAACCAATCGTAAAGAAAATTTTGAACTTGCTTTTCGTACTGCGGAAGAACGAGCAGGTATACCACGATTACTTGATGTTTCGGATATGCTTATTATGGGTAATACACCTGATTATAAATGTATATTTACTTATCTTAATTCATTTTTGGCAAAAGTTAAAGATATTCATCCAATAACAAATGGTATTGAACATAATTAAACTAATTTCATTTTTTTTCTTCTTCTTTCTTTCGTTTTTCTCTTCTATTTTGTTTGTTCGTTTTTCATTTATATGATGCAAAGCAACATGTGTATATCTCGATTAGAACGATAGAATTTATTGTACAAAAAAAAAACGTACACTATCACCATCAACTTTTTTTTTTCTTCTATCACGTATTTTAATATTGTTTAAAATGAAATTTTTGGTGCTCTGATTGAAAAAAAGAAAAGAAAGAACTTTTATGAATAATCAGTAAAAAGAAAGAGATTATAATATCACACAGAAGAAGAAAAAAAAATGTATATGTCAATTCACTCAATACCAATAGGTACAGATAGACGAATATTAGGAGTTGTTGCACCTTTCATTTGGGCTGTTATACGAAATTCATAAGTTATGGCAATCGATGGTACATTATCAGGTTGACCAGTTTCATTTGGTACATATGTTGGGGATAGATTAGCTGGTAAAACTAATTCACATTTTGTATTAACTTCATTTTCTTTCGTATTTTCTGCTATTTCATTAAGAAGAGCTGTAAAAATTTCATTTTCACGTTTTATTCCATTTAATGAAACAGTTTGCATTAATTGTGCTGTGACTGCTTTGATTTGTTTTTGTTTTGGATTGGTGATTGACATTGACATTGGTACTACGGGACAATCTCGTCCAGAATAAAATGATTTTGGTAAACTACATATCATTGTGACATCACCAGAACCTAAAATAGAAATTTTTATATTTTAAATTCATAATAGAATTATGAAAAGAGAAATATCGAGGTCTCTTATTACAATATATATCAAACATAATTCCTTCCGTCTTCTCTTCCGAAACATTTTATTGTTAACTTTGATTCGTCTTACCTGTTACTTTACACGGTAATGGCACAATAATTTGTGGTGTTTGTGGTGCTATTGTAATTCTTTTATGTGTATTTGGTAATAAACGTCCGTCATGATAGATTTCCAAATAATAAACAACACAAAATTCTTTAAATTCGCATGATGGTGGTAAATTCGATCCAAGTGGTATACGAAATGGATAATTAACTTGTTGATGTTTTATTGTTCGTGCTGTACCATTTTCATGAGATGTTATAAGTGAACATGAATATGTTAAAAAAATATTATTATTATTATTATTAGGTGTATTATTGAATTGAGAAGAATTTCTATTCGAACGTGATGCATATTTTTTATTTTCAAGTAATTGTCCAATTAAATCAATACGAATTTCTTTTTCAATACGTAATTTTGATCGAACATTCAAATGAAATTCACCTTGAATTGTTGATAAATTACGATAAAAATCATTTGGTGATGAAAGTGTTAAAGAATATTCGGCATTTGTTAATGCAGATTTAGTTGAATTTAGACCCATCTACAAAGAAAAAGAAGATTTATAGTGACACACTTGATCACATTCTTATAAATAGTTAATAATTTAAATTTAAAAATTAAATACTTACTTGCAAATCGACGAAATAAATATTTTGTAAAGAAATAAGAAACAGTAGGACACTCACATTCTTTATATTTCTATTCTATATTCTGTATAATATGTCGGAATACATTTACACAAAAGAAAGTTAATACTTTTTTTTTTTAATATTCTTTTCATCGTTATATAGATGAGCTTTATGGCGATATTCATTTGACTCTTAGCATTCTTTTTAACTGAATATATACATAACTAAACGTAAAAGTTTTAAGTTTCATCACGCGAGTCTTCATGTTCATCGTCTTCATCGTCTTCTTCTTCGTTACTTTCTTCATCATGATCATCATCGTCTTCGTCTCCTTCTTCTTCTTCCTCTTCATCATGCTCTTCGTCTTCTTCTAACTGCTGGCTTGCATCATCATCGTCGCCTGTTACATTGTGTTCTGAAAATAAAAAAGTTTTAAAAGAGAAAAAAAAAGAAAGAAAATACCTAAAAGTATTCTTATTAATGAACCGCAATTTTATAAAAAGTTTCAGTGCAAACATAAACTACTAAACTGTTATTTAAAAGAAAATACCTCGTTCACGTTGATATTGTCGATAGAGTTGTTCATGAGCAGCTGACATCATTTCTCGCGCACGATTTTGATAATCAACAACACACCAACCATCATTTTCCGTGCAATCATGTTCCTAGAAAAAAACAATAGACGACTAATGCAGACTTTTTGTTTTATTCAAAGAAGAGACAAGAACGGAAATTAAACTTATTAAGATTTTAATAGTATTTTTAAAGCATAATTTCGTAAGATAATCTTCTTATGACAAATAAATACATGTATGTATCTACGAAATAGATGGGAAATGATTCATTTCATTTTTTAAAACAGAAACTGTTAATTATTTATAGGGTACAATCGTATATACAATAGAATGTATTTAAAAAAATATGTCTATATTATATTTGATCTAACTTATACTGAGAATTCTACAGAAATTATAATATTTAATTCTTTTTATAGAAAAATTTTACTTAGTTTTTAAGCACATTGTTGATTTCTTATTTTTATCTATAAAAAAAAATATTAGTTTGACATGTAGGTACTCTTCTCTTTCAATCCTCTTATCAAAAGTTGGCAGGTGTGTTTATCAATAGTAAGTAAAGAAAGGCGCGCCTGTCAGAAAGCAAATTCTTATTCATTCCTATTTAAATATGACTAGAAAAGGAAGTAAACTTCTTTTCTTTCTCACCTGGCCATCATTTGAATGAACCATTTGCTGCACTTCCTCAAGTTGTATGTCAATCAACTGATAATGAATCGAACGTGCTACAGGCAAACTTGTTCGTTTAAACATATACATTTCTTCCTATATGACGTATATATATATATCAATTAACAATAATAAATGTCAAAAGAAAAAAGATTTACGGCATAATTTTTTGTATTTGATGCTGATATTGTTGTTGCTGTTGAAGACATTTGTCCAGGAATTAATCTGGAAGAAAATAAATCTTTAAAATTAAAACTGAATATTAGATAACAAACGATGAACGATGATAAGCTCTTGATGTTCTCGATTTGACAAGATTTTTTTCTGGATCAAGTATTGCACGTACACGATAATCAACAATTTGATAAATTTTTGATTTTGTATCTGAACGTGGATCATAACCATATTTAACCCAACAACGATTCCATGGACCATTACAGAAAAAATAGGCAACATGATGAATAATACGTTTTAAAATAACTTCAGTTATTTTAAGATGATATAATAAACTATTTCGTGTCCATACGGGACGTTGGTCAAATAAACGACGAAGATGTGTTATTATAGATTGATCAACATTGGTATATAGATCATTCGATGATTTTGGACCTATTATAAATGAAAACAATATAAAATTTTATTATAATCCAATTTCGAACACTTTTCTTAACAGAAAAAAAGATGTATATTCTCCTGTATTATTATATTTAATTATGACAATCTTTGCATATACTCTATTTAATAAATATTTATCACTAACGGAATAGGTTGATCGATTAAATTGACCTTGTCAATAATTATATACATGTTTCTATTTACAGAATAATTGAGATTTGTGATAAAAAAAATAAAACTTTAGATTTTACCTGTTGGTACTGTTGTAGCATCGAATCCGATATGATGTGCTGCTGATGAACGAACATTTCTTTTTGTTAATTTATTACTATTCATAGCTTGTTTTGCACGTGTAATTGTTGTTGCTGTTCGTTTTGGTCGTGCTTTTGGTTCTGGTCGAAATGCATAATCTGTTGGATCAAAAAAACGTGAAAATATAGCTGGAATACACATTAATGGACATGGTCGTTCTAAATTTTCTTTATCTAAACATTGTCGATTTAATGCAACACGATTTAAAAATGATTCATATTGATCATTTTTTTTAATCATTGGTAAATATTGAAAATCTGCAAGTGATTCAAATGAATAAGATGTATCAAGAATGCCAATAACATGAATAGATTTAACAGTTTTTGTATGTTTATTTCGACGTAAACGAAGAAGAAGTCCAGTTGTTTTCTGACGTTCAGCACGAAGTGGTCGTTCATAAATATTTGAAGGTGTAAATGAACATGTTAATTGTGATGTTGTTGAATGTGTAAATACATCAACAAGACGTTGTCGTCCACCAAGTGTTTCAATAGCACGATCACAATTCACAACATGACATGGATGTTGAACAGCATAAATTAATTGAAGTGATTCAATTGGAATAGCAGATGTTGACATATATTATCTATAAAAAAACAAATTCTGTGTATAGATACAAAAATCTTCTTTTATCTGATCTATCAATTTAGTAAAACTACAACAAAGAAAAAACAAATTTTTATATTTATATACAAAAAAAACATAGAAAATTTTATTTTACAATTTGAAAATTATTGGAATGGTACATTCACGAAAAGATATGCATTGAGATTGTATATTAACTAAATAAATAGAAAAAGAATTATTTTTCTTAAAAGACAAAAGTCTATATTATATATTTTGCAGACATATCATAACAACTATTTATTGAGATATGTTAATACAAAACAAAAGTAATGTCAGTCTCAACTTTTAAAAAATTGAATAACATGACTTATTATTAATACATACCATTCATTCAGCAGATCCAACAAGTTTTTCTAATCCTGGACATCGACATATATCACATCTTCGAAAAGCTACATCCCATGGCCATGATTCCCAATTATCATATAAAATATGATTAATATCATTAACTTCATAAGGTTCATAGTTTCGTTTTTTTAAAAAACTTAACATTTCTTCAATTTTTTTCATCATTCCACGATGATATTTAATTTCAATTAATTTTCCAAATTCCATATAAATAGCTGGTATTTCTGTTCGATTAAATAATACTGATGCATTACTAAATGCTAATGCTTCAAAACCTTCAATATCCATTTTTAGAATAGCTCGTTTAAAAAAAATTGGATAGATTGAAACTAAATCATCAAGTGTTATTGTATCAACTTCTGCAAGTACGCGTGGTGGAATTCCATGTTGTTCATCAACAAGTTTTTCTAATTTTTTATCGGATGGTGCTAATTGATCGAGATAAGATAAATACGAAGCACCTAAATTTTTATCAACAATATTTAATGCTAAACGTTCATGTTTTACTCCAATGGCATTTGCAATAAGTGTTACTTGATGTTGAACATTATTGATTTGAATTGATTTATGTAAACGAATAAGAGAATCATATAAAGGTTCAACAGCAATAACATGACGATCATATTTAGTTGCTAATAATGTATATAAACCTAGATTAGCACCAATATCAATCACATCTAGAACAAAAATTATTTAGAAAAATCTTATTTAGAAAAATTTTTATTTTCTTACGTGTATTTGGTAATGCTCTTAATAGACGAAGAAAACTTCTTACAACAACAGGTTCCCATTTTCCATGATCATTCAATTGTCCACTAACATGTTCATCATGTTGAGGATCATAAATACATATTCGTACATCAGTAATATCTGCTTCATTATATTGAGTTTTTGGACATTGAAAATCCCATTCGTTATCTTGAGTTACATCATAAAGTGTTATTATACCTCCATTTGATATTTCATGTTCATATAATTGTGATTGACGAACATTTACTGTTTGATTTGATTCAGTTGATATAAGATGAAATTGTCCAAAAACAAGACGAGGAAAAAGACGATTTTTATTTATTATTGCGAGATAAAAAAGGAAAAAAACAGTGATAACAATAAAATATCGTTTGATTAATTTCATAATTTCATCAATAAAAAGTGATGTTGAAATAAGACGACGATGATATTTTAGGACCATCGAGTATTTTTAAATAAACTCGTTGTATAGATATATGTCATATATCCCATGGAATGAGTCAAGTTCTAGAATGATGATTGTCATCATTCATTCATTCATTCATATGTACCCCGATACGATACAAAGAAATACAACAAATCAATGTCGTACATGGACAGATGTCTCCACCTGTAGAATACTGTACGAACAAATAAGTATATACTGACTTTCCTACATTTTTGTTACTTAAGATAACAGGAAAAAGGTCTATATGAGTTGATTACATTTGAATAAATTAATTAAAGTGGTCCATATAGAATTCGGAGAGACACCGGATATTTTTAATAGGTTTTTTTTTTCTTTTGAAAATCATACTCACGAGAATTAATGTTACCGAATATTAATATATGAACTAACATCGCTGTACTTTTCTTTTTCTTGAAAAGCAATACAATGATTGTTATTATTAGTATAGAAATTAATTAAGAATTCGAAATAATGCGTTCATTATATGAAGGTTATCAAACTGATAAAACAAAGTAACGAACTTTATGATTCAGGATATACTTCAAAATGTATGAAAGTGTTAGAAATGATTTATTCTCTTAATACTTGTCCCATGATTTTATTAGTGAAACAAATATGATTATCGGTGTGATAGTCTGGAATTAGTTTGAGCTGAAAGTTTGATATTAACATCTATGTTTTAATAAAATGTCTGAATAAAATTATAATGTTCAATAGTTTTCAAAATATCATGTAGTACATTAAATATCTAGAAAAGTGATCATTGCTCGAGGAAAAAAATCATTAAAATAATGAATCGTTTTTCATTTCTATAGTTCATTCATGATCGAAAGTTGAAATTTAAATGGTCTGCATATCTTTATATGTTCTCTCATTAGATCTATTCATAAGCAAGTTTAGAATTTCATCTGTATATCGTCAATCATTCAGTATAATAAATACTTTATCTATTTATTCATTTTATAAAATGTCAAAATTTGTCAATATCAACATCAGCCAATAATATACAATAGAGTTGACATTTGAAATATATTTCATTATTTTTTTCTCCACACCAAATCATAAAGATCAATGACAAAAAAATCCTTTCAAACAAAATATTTATCGCAATCGTCGTTGAAAAGATACATAAAGATTTATTCCTTCGTTTTTTCTTCAAGATAATCTTATATTGCTGAATGTATCTTCTTATAAATATAAAGACGAGCGAAAAAAAAACACACCAATATTATAAAAAAAACCAATAACGAAAAGAAATAAGAGATTGTTCATTACATATTGTACAAATTAAACGGAATGATTGGAAGACTTATATATATTCACACTGTGTTAACTTTCTCCGGCAAATGTATTGCCTTCAGCACCTGTTATAATAACATCAACCCATATACGCATTGACTCAACTGTCGGTGCAACTAAATAATAAGGACGTTCAATTGTTTTAACAATAAATGTTGCTTCACGTGGTTCAGGTGATCTTAATGATATTGATTGTAAATGATCAACGTAAACTTCAACAATTGATTGAAAATAAATACAACCACGTAATTTTGTTTCAGTTTTATCTTGATAATAAAATAATGAACGACGTTTACGATCAAATACAAACCAACGACGATTCCATGTTTTAAATTTCATTCCACCCATTTTAAGAAGAAAACCACGACATGATGTTGATGTTATATGTATATGTGATGAATCTAATAAATGTCCAGCACCTTCAATATGTGCACGAAGATCAAAATCAATTGAACGTATGGGTAAATAACGTGTTAATGGACGTTCCTATTTTACAAAAAAAACTAGTTTTAATGAAACAAAATATTTCATTGATATACCTGCATTCGACTTTTTTCACGTAATTTAACTTGACATTCAATAAGATAATCACGATTTTGAATTTCATTAGCTAATTTTTGTTCTAATTCAACACGTTTTAAATGTTCATCATGACATTGAACGAGTTCATCATAACGTTCACGTAACTAAAATTATTATAGTAATAAAATTTAACAAAAGAATATTTTTAAAGAATCAAAAGTTTGTTTACATTTATAAATTATGCAACTACAAAAAAAATGTAAGATAACTATCTTAAATAGTCAATATATCATTCCGAAACTAGACCGGTGCGCACTACTGAATCAGTCGGAAAAGATTTTAAGATTTACTTACTTGTTGTTCTAGAATTGTCATTTTTTCAAGTTTAGCAATCGCAATCATTTCCTTAATTTCATCTAATTTTTCTTGATGATTATCTTTTATATTCAATCTATAAAATTCAATATGAAATACATTTTTCTATTTATAAATTAAAATTTACTTTGGTAATGAAATATCATCTGCATAATTCAATGCATTGTAAATACTTGATGGAGTTGAATGATACATTGATGTATTACCATTCAACCAAACATCTAAAATAATTATTAGTTCAAAATAAAACAGATTATTAATATGATTAATACCTTTTCCATTTGTTGCTTGCAGATGATGTCCATTTTCATAAATATTTTTTTCATGAATTGATGATAATCCATTGATTTTTTGTTCTAATTCATTAGCTTCGAATGTTTTTTGTTTAAATAATAATTTAAGTTTTTGTTTTTCTCGTTCCAATTTTTCTTTTTCGATTATAACTTGATGTAATATTATATTTTGTTGATGATCAAGATCACGTAAAGTATTCTATAAAGAATATTATTTGTTAGAAAAATTAAAAAGAGAAATCATTTTTTATTACCTGTCGAATTTTCGAATTTTGTGCAACAAGAATTTGTTCATTTTGAAAATGTTCTTCGGCTTGTTCAAGTTCAGTTTCACAACGTGTTTCTAATTCCATTAATTGAAATTCTAGATCTTCATGTTTTCTACGTGTCTCAGCAAGAATTTCTTTCTTTCTAGACAACATAATCATTGATTAAAAGAGAACATATAAAAAGAAAGATTACACTACTCACTTGAGAATTTTATCATCCGACGGTCGATATTGTTCTTCGAGTTCACGTAATTCATATTCAAGTTTAAAAAGGATTTGTTGAGTATAATCAATTTCATTTCGAATCTAAGATAAAAAAAATAAAATAAAATCTTTTGTTTTGAAAAGATTAAAAATATTTTCTTAGTTTACAGATGTTTTTTCTGTCATTATTCGATCAGTTAATAATTGTAAATCATTATATAAATGTCGAATTTTGTCTTGATCAATTTCACTATCATCTAAAATTTGTTTAAATACCAACTCGTGTTCTCCTTCAACCAATGCACGTTCAATTTCAAGCTAAAATTAACAGGTGTATAGATATATATATATATGTATATATGCAAAAGATTATTTTCATTTTGTTTTATGAGAAAGAAAAAAATTGATATGCACATTTTTTAAGTGCACATCTGGTAATAAGATGTTTATTCTCATATCAACACGCGATCAATAAATTAGATGAGACAGAATAATAGTAGTAGTAGTAGTAGTAGTAAGGAGAAATAAAGCAAACCTGTAAATGTCTGATGATCTTGAAAGAAAATGATTGTTTGCTAGTAATTGCCCTATTTCATGTTTCATGGTGAGAGAAAAGAACAACTGCGAAATAAATTATCAAAATGAATTTCATTTAATAATTTCAAATATTTGATGAGTCTATGTTCAATTTAGATGGCAATTTAAAGTAACTATATTTAGAAATAATTAATGATTGAAGTATAAATAAATGAGACTGAATTTCTATACAATTATTATTCGAACCTCGTTGTCATCTTCATTGTCATTGTAATCAAATATATCTATACACAGTCTGATCTCGACACAAATTTCTCTATATAGTAGGTCTAGATAATTGAGGGTTGAACAATATCGGGTGGGGGTAGATGAATAAGATTAAATATCGACGAATGAAACTTTCTTATTCATAACCGATAACATGTCTCACTTATACATATCAAGAGATAGTAGTTACATTAGAATATCGAAGAAAAAGGGAAGAATAAATGGATAACAACAGTCATCGATATCATTATTCATATTATCATCGAATGTAACAACAACAGGAAGCAGCAGACAGACAACAGCACCGTTCATCATTATTTTTTTCCTCTCTTTACTGCATATATATCAATGTCCAATCTATCACTAATGCACGTATACGTAATCATTTTTTGCTTACTTGTTCTCTGACATATGAAGAGACAACTTGTTTTAAAATGATAATTTTTTTTTTCTGTCTTTAGGTGAATTGTAAATGAAACAAAAGAAATGATCGGGGGAAACAGCTGGATTTGAAGAGCCCGGCAAAAAAAAAGAAATTGTTTATAAGAATTCTAAATATTCATTTTCCTTTTTTATATATGTATGAATTATACAAGATTATTCTTTTCTTAGAAAACAACTGTACATATGCAATAGATTAGGCATGATGTTGCTAGAAGGGCCAATTAAACAAAAAAACATATCAAGAAAAAAATAACTTTGCTATTTATATAACAAATTGATTGACACTTATTTATATTATCTTACCTCACGCATAGCTTCACTAAGACGACTTTCAATGTCAACAATATTTTTTTTGATAATAGTTAAATCTGCCAATGTTTTTCGATAGTTACTTTCGTATTGTTTTAATTTACCATTATTCGTAATATCAATAGGAATACCATCAGCATCATTCTAAATAGCAATCATCCACTTCATCGGTCATCGGACAAGTTTATATATATGTGAAAAAAAAGGAAGAGATAGAGGACAAACGGTCAAAGCATGTATGTGTGTATGAATGTATGTATGTATGTATGTGTGAAACAAGTAATCAAGGGCAACTTCTACTTCTATTTCTCATTTCTCATTTTCTCTTCTTTTCTGTGTCTTATCGGACATCACATCTGCGTTGTCCAACAGACAGATGAACCAGTTCAATTAGTAAATCTAATATTAATGATGGGAGAATATGACAAGCCTTATGGCGGAAAAGAGAACATAGAAGAAGATCAAAACATACATGTATGACTTCCGTTTTTCTTTCTCTTTTTATGGCATATGTTTTGATTCAATTAATGAATGAAGAAGAAGAAGACAAACTTACTCCTTCAATACTTGAATTTGATGTTGGCCGTGTAACAGTTGTATCTATGACAATACCAGAATCTGATGTTGGAACTTTATTTTGATGTCCATTTGATGTTGATGGTGATGCATGTTTTTGATACCAAGATTCATCATTATGATTTGTTTCGAAATCAATAGGATAGAGAATTTTTGATGGTTGTTGATTTGATGTTGCAGAAATTGTTTTTAGACTAGAAGCTTTACGTTGTTGAGAAATATTTTGTTGTTGTTGTTGTTGCTGTTGTTGTTGTTGTTGAAGAATAAAATCAGATCTTGACATAAATTTTTCACCTGTTGGGGAATTCGATTCTGATGATGAGGAAGATGAACCGATCGGGGAGGATAATGTTGATAATTTTTCTTCACTTTTTGGTTTGACTTGTTGTCGATGTTGATTAAATGTTAGAGGTGGTTGAGCTCGTCGTTGAGTTGGATTATGACTTGAACAATGTGATAATAGTAAACCATTTGTTAGAATACGACGAGTAAATGATGGACGACGTTGATTATCTTCGGATGATTTATTTGTTGTTGATAGATCTTCATCAAGTATTGGTGCACAACAAGATATATGAGGAGTCGATGAACAATCAGTTAAAGAATGATGAATACTTGCTACTTCTTCGTAATGCACTAGAAAAATAAACAAAATAAAAGATATTTTTTTATAATTAATATTAATATTCATGTTTAGTCAACCATATAATTGACATTTGTTCCGAATTCTTTTTTGAAAAATATAATGAAATAAAAATGAAAGATATATGTGTATATATTCACCTGTGCTATTTAACATCGATGCTGGGGCGGGCATAATAAAATCAGATAGGCTTGATGATGTAGATTGTATTACTTTCATTGTTTTAATATGATGTTGAGATGGCATTAATTTATTATTGTCCATCATGCATGCACTTAGTTCATTTGTTGTAGGTAAAAGTAGCATTGGAACGGATAATGACATAGGTGTAGATCTTGATGGTGGTAGTTGATCGGTTGGTAATGAAGCTAGAGATTTATTAATATAATTATTTTGTGTATTGATCACCGGTGATACAGATGATTTGTCGTTTGTATTTATAAATGGAGGAGTAAAAACTTTTGAATTGATCATTGCTGATGTTCCACATAAACGAGATACTGATAAAGTATTAGTTAACATAGAACATGGTTTAAATGATGCATCTGTATAATATGAACATAGACGAGTTCGATCAAGTAATGGAGATCGATATAATGAAGACGGAGATTTAATTGGTTCAGATTTGGGACTGATAACTGGTAGCTAAATGAAAAAAAAATGATTATTATATTTTTTCGATAAATATCTATTTACTTTTTCAACATTCGCAATGTCATATACGATCAGTTTATCATATGTATCATCATAAATTTCCTCATCATCTTCTTCTGTTCGAGGTTGTGGACTTGGAGATTCATAAATAGTTGAAAGACGTTTATCAATATCTTGATTTATATCAAAATTATTTGTAGTATTCATAATTATTATTTGTGATTCACTATCATTTATCTGATCATCATTCTCAAGTATATCAGCTCGATCATCATTATCATGTAATGTTACAGTTGGTACGGACCCATCATTTATTTTTAATAAATGATTTTGTCTTTTTTGTTCTTCTTCATCATCATCACGTCGTAATTGTTCAAGTTCTTCTTCGTTTTCTTCAGTAATTGTTAAACATGAATGAACGATATTCACTGGTGGTTCATAAGGAATACCTTCTGATAAATAATCATCATCCTGATATAGAAAAGTCGAAATGAAAGCATAAAGAAAATGAACGAATATACTTAGTCGATTTCTTCTTTCTTTTTCTTCTCTTCTTATTCCTCTTATTCTCCTCCTTCTTATTCTTCTTCTTTCAATAACTAGACATAAACAAAAGAATTCAATCATGCTTTTTGAAAAGGTTTCATCTCATTACTATTACTCAATTCTTAAAGATATTTTCTATTCTAATATAATGACAGATTAAAACAAAAAAAAATTGAAGAGGTGAAAAGAACTTCTCATTCATAAAATAAACATTAGTTATTTATCTTTAACATATTGTTATCTTTCTTAATAAACTTTTCTTTTCTTTTTTTGTGCCAGATTATAATAAAAAATAAATTACAATAAACTTACAAAGAATATTGCTGTACGTGAATGAGATTGATGTATTGTTTCATCGGTATCAGATAGATCAATACTATAAACAAAACTATCAGGCATTAATTGCTTTTGTTGTTGTTGTTCACATTGAATGAATGCAGCTAATTCTTTATCATAGATTTTTGTTGGTGATACAGGTGCCGAATGACTTCTTTGTTGTTGTAGATCTTCATCTTCATCATCTGTATATATCTGATTATCATCAATCTCAATATCTTCATTACAACCAATACCAGTTAAATCCATTTCTGTTCGTGTTGTATTTGAAACATGATTATCATTTGATTGTTTTCGACGATATTGTCTATGAATTTGTAAATCATCTAAACTTTTACTTTGAAATTTAATATGTATTGATAATGTTGGAGAATTTTTATTAGGATGCTGTAGTAATAAATCTTCAACTTGAACAAGTGACTGATGAGATGATGATGATTCTTCTAAATGAACAAAATATGTTTAACATCGCATCATTACTCAAAATGTCAGCTGTTCGATTTTACGTCATCAATAATGATACTTCTAACAGTCAGTACAGCTAGGTTTTTTCAGTTATATTAATCTTATTACATATATAATCATCAAGAGACGCCTGTCTACTAGTAACTAATCCAATAGTAATCTAATGTCAACTATATAGACATTTTTGCAGTTCTGTTCTTTTCTGAGAGATTGTAATATTATTTTAGATAAAAACGCAAAGATATATATATATATACATATCTATATATATGTATATGCCAATTTCTCCTTTTCTCTCTATCTCTCTCTCATTCATCTTATTTCTACAATCATTTATTTTTACAGTTCGATACTGTCATTCAATCGATCATTGTTCAAAATAGTTATAGTGTCATTAAAAAGAAATATATAGGATTGGATTTTGACTTACCTTCTTGATGTTCATTTTTCTCATTTAACTGACAGTTGACGTTGTCTATCATCTTTATGACAAGTGAATTTTAAATTATCAGTGTCAAGGTATTATTAAACAGAGCATCAATATTCTACGAAACGTGAGTTTTAAATGAAATATGTATAAAAGTATGAGTGACATAGAAGAACAGAAGGAAATTACCAAACCATCGTTGTTAGTGTATACACTTCAATGTACTCGACCTTGTACGGGTGGCGAGCGTGCAATCACTGCGTGTAGTAGAAATAAGGGTGTCGTGTGCGAACAGTAGTTTGAATGTATGACATACACAACATGCTATTTCAAATGCAAAAGAGAGAGAGAGGGAGAGTGCGAAAAAAAGAAGAAATAAACTGTGAGTGTCGATAAAAAAAGGAAGAGAGTACGATGCATCATCAATTATGAAAAAAAATGAAAAGAAAAGAAAAACGAAAAGAAGGCTTACCGCTTTGAAATTGATCCTCTATTCATTCAATGGGAGTAATACTAAACTGTTTGTATGTTTTCGAGCAATACTTTTTATACATATAATTAGTCAAGAAATAAATAGAAAAAGAAAATTATCAATATAATTATCCATTTAATCTATTATATATATTTATAAGTATAGTTAACAAATCAATTATTAAATAATAACTGATAAATTTTTCTGATATCATATCATAACTGATAAATAGTATTTTACCTGGATTCGATAGTAAACGTTGTGTCATTTTAAACAAGATAAATAAAACGACAAAGTTCAAGAGGAACTTTGATACTTGTAACAGATGTTAGTTTTATTTTATCGGAATGATTGAGTGATTCATTTGAGTGGTTGAAAAAATAACAAAAGTATGTGAGTCAGTTCAATTTGATACATCGTCGTTTATCGATGATTTTTTCGACTAACCAATCAGTATGATATGCATACGAAAACGAAACAAGAGGTCGCTTAATGTCTATTCAGTTTTCGTTTCAATGTTGATTAAACAAATCTGTCACTGTTAATAATCGAAAAGATGCTCGATCGATAAACTTAAAGATAATATGAATAGCGTATGTTTTCACAATAAGCAATCAAAAGATTGAAAACAATGATTTCGTCACGTATCTAAAACTTATTTGATGCGGAATATCTATCATTAATGATATTTGAATTTTACTGATTCAGAAGATAATTAATTAAATCATTTCATTATTTAATTGAATGAATGCCAAATTATTTTTAGATCATTCAGGGTTAATGGAAAAAAGAAATTCTTTTAAACCATTTCTCATATATCTTAAAACAAGACTAGAAATTTTTGGCTCTGTGACAAATCTTTTTTTTTATTGTACTATTCACTTTGATCCCAAGTGATTTATATTCAACATGGAAAGAATATTAATTAGCTATCACACAATTCTGGAATCTGTGTTACAAAATCAATCCTAACAAATGATTTATTAGACAATCAAACTCAATTGATTATTTTGAATTTGTTAGAATTGAAATTACATGTTCTAACAATAATACTAATGTTTGTTATTTGTATTTATAGAACTTAATTAAAAACTAGTATATTATTTGATTATTATGATCATTACATTTTTGTTAACATTATTATTTGTTAATCAGTAAATTTTATGACTTTTTTTACAGACTTCCAATTACATAGGTTTTCATCATCGCCGTTGGATTTAATCGAAATTGCAAATATCAACAAACAGTAATATACACATATATGTAATGAAAAAATTCTAAAAAGTGATTGATTACATTTGTATACATTACTATATTATAAATGTGTTATTTATCGATACATTAGGCTAGTATCGAGGCACTACTACATAGCTGTTTTGTTCGATTCCTGCGGATTATATTATATAATTACGGTTGCTGCTGTTTCAGTCATTCTTTGATTTATCGCTTTTATACGCTTGTTTAATTTTGATATGTTTCTTAGCAGTATTTTTCATCAATGTATTACAATTTTCAGAATAAAAAATGAATTTAATATCCACCCACTACTCACGCCTACAATCAATTAAAAGTTGACGATATAAATAATGGTATATTTTTAAAGATTCGTAATATTCTCACGTACATAATATTATAAATCTTGAAGAATTAAGCTATTTTTGTCTGTAAATTTACAATAATATGCGAGGAAAATATTATTTAATATCTTGTCAAATTCATTTAGTTTTGGAGATGTATTATATACCCATTCGATACTATATTTGATTATTAAATGATTTTTTTATTAGTATGTGTAGTTCATTCCATGTGTAATAATATAATAAACCTCATTAATATCAATTTCTATAGTAAATATTAATTATGATTGAATGAACTTCACAAATATTAATCGACGACTAAAGAAACTATACATAAGATCACGTCTATTTACATATATAGATTAAGAATAACAAGACATTCATTAATATTCGACAGAATGAAAAGAAAAATTCCATTAGTAATAATAAGTTTTTGATTTCGAAGATACATATATTTCTTTGCTTGATGAAGCAAATTATTCAATAATTAATTATTCTACACTATCAAATCAAAAATCAATGCGCGCAACGGGCGCCAAAACATTAATTAATTTGTTTCACGATATGTTAGATATTAAACCAATCTTATATCAATTATCAGATAAATGTAATCCAAAAATAGACTTACCATTTATTACTAGCCATCAACAAACCAAGTGTGGTAATATTATAGACTCTCGTCGAACAAAATATCCAGATGTACCTAAATTATTGAGAATATCGGATAAAAAACAATCAATTTTTCCTACTATCAACAATCAACGCAAGTAAGATTTTCTTAATATTAATTTACACATGGAATACTTTTAGAAAATCATAAGTAATAACATCGTTCTGTTGGTGTAGCGGTTATCACATCTGCTTAACACGCAGAAGGTCGCAGGTTCGACACCTGCACAGAACAGATTATTTTTTATTTTTGATTATTAAAATTAAAAATTATTTTTTTTTCGAATAGAATTCCATATTATAATAAAACGTTGAAAAAGACATTATCTATGACTATTAAAAAATTTTTACATCTTAGAATAAACTCTACATTTGAAATAATTTTATGTAAACATTCTTTGAATTAAAATAATTCGATTAAAATTAGTAGATGGAATGTGGTTCTGTTGGTGTAGCGGTTATCACATCTGCTTAACACGCAGAAGGTCGCAGGTTCGACACCTGCACAGAACACTCTTCTTTTTTTCGTTTTTTTCAAATTTGTTTTTGTTAATTTATTACATTTTAGATCAATTGAACTTATTGTTAAAGAAAATCCTAAAGATTTTATTCGATCAAAACGAATAACAGATAATGAAGCAATCAGTTCTATACGTCATATTGGAACACAAACTGATTATCGAGAAGAATCGACACAAACCAATCCTTTTTCACCACCATATACTATTTCTGGTAATCAACATCCAGAAGTATTTGCTTTATCTGATTTTACTTATGGTAATAAGTTTGTTGAACTTTCATAATTTAAAGATATTTATTTATAGGTAAAGGTTTACCAGCAACATCACTTGAAATTTCATTTATTGAACGATTACGAGCTCGTCGTGAATGGGAACAAGATCATACAATCGATATGACACGAACTAAAATTGTTATTGAACGTGAAATACGTGAATGGCAAATTCGTAATGAAGAAATTAAAATGTATGCATTTTAATTTAACTTTATATCTATTCTTTATGCCAATAAATAAGGTTACAAGATACACGTGAAAAATTATTTACAAAAAATCTTCATACATATATAAAAATTGATGAAGAAGTGACACAAAATATCATTGATCTATTTATTTATCGACAAGAAAAACAATTGAATTTACAACATAAAAGACTTGAAATTGAGACATCTCGAGGTAATCTTCTTCGTAAATAGTATCATATTATTGATAATCTGTTTATAGATATTCGTCGTATTAAACGTATGTATCAATTACGAGAAACTCAGATAAATGCAGTAACAAGTTATAATCATCTGGGAGTTATTGGTATGGCTCAACAGGGAAATGGTTGTTTTTCTTTATTGAAACCACCATGGCATACACGACCTGATGATATTATAACTACATTTAAAAATAGAATGTCTAATATGTATACACATTGTTCTCAGTTTGATTATTTGATTGATCGACGTTTTAATCAATCTCAAATAAATATATTTAAATTTGAAGAGTTAATACCAAAAAATGCTTTAGTTCCACAAATTGATCAGTTTAATCGATCAATATTATATAAGAAGACTTACAATAAAAAAAACACATCGTCGTCTTCAAGATTTGGAGAGAGCTTTTCAAGTATAAAAATACTTATCCTTGAAATTGTGATTGAAATAAAAAACTTTTTTTTTAGTTGATTGAAGAGGAAAAAACTAAACAAACATTGGTATTAGAAAATAAACCACTTAGATTTGTAGAAAAGGTTGAAATAATAGAACATGTCAAACAATCACAAACGATCTCGTCTCCAACAGAAGTCTTTTATTGACATGTTACTAATTTATATTTTATATTTGTTGTTAGGTATATGATCGTCGTCGCATAGCAATTATCAAATTTCAAAATTATCTACGTAGTATTATTGTTCAATCTAAAGTAAATATTTCTTTATATTTGTAGAATGTTATCTTCTTACATTTCTTTTTAAAGATTTCAAATGTTCGTCAAATTCGTCAAGATTTATTAGAAGAACTAAGAAATGGTTTAGAACATAATCAAACAACATCAATAGATATATCCGATGATATCTATAGGAATGAAGTTGTATCACCACAAACACAAATATATGATTATCTTGAAGGTGAAACAATATCTGATATGTTAGATTTTTTATCGAAAGAACTTCTTCGTCTTCAATCTGAACAAACAATTCATCTTTTTATATTACTTGCTGATCGTTATCGATATCAACGAGAAGCAGCAGAAACAGGTTTTCGTACAAGATCTATAGAAAGACAAAAGCTAGAAGATCGTGCATTTCAAGAAGTATATATACATATAGATGTAATTTGAATAAGAAAATATCATAAATACAAATTCTAGATGTTTTCATTGAATGTAAATTGTGATATTGAAATATATTTACAAGATGTTATTCTTGAATCAATTTCAAATACTGCTGATAAACAAGCAAGATTAGAAATTCAACAAATAACTGAAACATTAGCTAATCTAACAGATGAAATAAACAATTCCTTGTATAGTCTTATCTTTTAATAAAATCTTATTTTAATCATTTTTATAGGTCAAATCCAATCGATATCGAAATAATTGTATCTGAACTTGTACATCATTTTTTATTTCCAACAGTTCAAACAATTCTTACTCGATAAACATCTAGAAACTTCTCTCAATATAAAAATAGGTCATTTATCAAGAATTAATTGTTCTTAACTTTATATATCTGACACAATGAACAAATTGATAATAAACATGCAATAAGATAATCAAAATAAATTTAGCAAACAGGATAACAAATGGTTGATAGATCATGCAATAAAGTTTATTTTCTTTTAGATAATCTAAGATAATATAATTCTCTTTATTAATATCAGAAATTGTTTTTTTTTCTTTTGTGTTCTATATATTTGTTCGTTGAATAAATGAAGAAAATAAGAGATGAAATACCGGGACTTAAACGCAAAAAAAGAAATATAAGCCAATAAAATAAATTAGTTAGCATGTTCAAAATATTCTTTTGACTTTGAAACATCAGGATTAATTGTTTTCTTTCCTGGTTTCCAATTAGCTGGACATACTAAATAAAAATAATAATAAATGAATAAACAAGAAAAATTCAATTAAATATTCGATTATACCTTCGCCATGTTTATCGGTAAATTGAAATGCTTGAACTAATCGAAGTGTTTCATCAACTGAACGACCAACTGGTAAATCATTTATTGTTATTTGACGAAGGATTCCATTAGAATCAATAATAAATAAACCACGAAAAGCTATACCTTCATCGTCTTTTAATACACCATATTTTGCTATATAAAAAGAAATATGCCTAATTATTTACATAAAGTATAGATAAATGACTTACTAGAAATATCCAAGTTTTTATCAGCTAATAATGGAATATTCATTTTTCCAAGACCACCTTGTTTACGGCTTGTATTAACCCTAAAATAATAGATTATTTCATATCAATACAAAACATTAAATTAATTTCATACCATGCGAGATGACTAAAATGAGAATCAGTTGAGCAAGCTAATATTTCGCAGTTTATTTGACGGAATTCTTCAATACGATCGCTGAATGAGATTATTTCTAAATATAAATATTTGCATTTATTTTATCTTATTAATTGATTGTAATTATATAATATACCTGTTGGACAAACGAATGTAAAATCCAATGGATAGAAAAAGAGTACAACATATTTGCCTTTATAATCTTTAAGTGAAATATCTTTAAAGTTTCCATCGACAACTGCAGTACTCTTAAATTCAGGAGCTGGTTTACCAATCTTTGCCGACATGTTCCTTTTTTAAATGCAGATCTAAAATGACAAAAAGAGTATTTTTTCTGTTGTAAAACTTATTTTATGATTGGATAAACTTGTGTATGTATAGTTATTATGAGAGAAACAATCTGTTATTTTATAAATCTCGTGAGGCTTATTCTCCAGGGCGTGATTTTTTCTTTCATAAACTGGTTACCATTTCTGATTAGCTCCCAAGAAAAGAACAGTTTACTAGACAGAAAAATATACAATAAGAATCGGGCTCACAAAATGAAATATGGTGCCACTTAATCAAATGCAAATCATAAATATGCCATTCTATTTCATTTTTCATTCATATCGTGTAGGCTAAAGAAAGAGAGAAAGAGAAGATAAATGATATTACTTTGTAATAGTAATAGTAACTTAATACAAGAGAACAGAAAAACAAAAAAAATGCGATAAGGACGACGACCACCATGAAAAGTGCACTTACCTCTTATCAACACCTAACAATGCACTGAAAGTTTTAGTTCTTCTTTTTTTTACACGTAAAATATTATATAACAAATCTTTATGGATAATCTTTTGAGTATAATCTGATAACTACATATGTAGATGTCGCCTTCATTTATCTCTGTATAAATGTTATTCTATTGGTT